GCAGCAAGATTCGAGGATTTGACAAATAATTTCGGTTGGGAATTTTGCGAAGGGATCCATCGTCGGCGAGATTGATAAATTCATGAATATTGTGAATATCTGTAGGGCGAAGGGGAATGAAAAGGAAGAGGTTGAGTATTTATTGTCGAGGCCAAAATCCAGGGATCCACAATTGTTTGTCATTGTTCGTTACTACTAAGCACGTAATTACCGCCCCATGACATGAAAATTGCCAGAGTGTGTGGACTTTCTGAAAAGGACGATGGCACCCAAACCAGAGCATCGTTTGGAAGCGTATGGTTGCCTGGAACATCCCTGGCTGAAGGAACATCGAGAAAATTCTTACTCATTGGCACTCATCAGAGAAACCGGCTCCACATCCACATCACCCAATTCCTTGAAAGTCGCACCAAATTCAGTTATGGCAAGACATCAGAAGTGCGTTCCGATATCAACGATTCTTTGGCGTCTGGGAATTGGGACTTTCTTGATCGAACTAAGCCTGAAAAGGCGACAGACCTCCCAATAAGAAACACGATTTATACCGCACTCAAATCACGCACTCTGCCTTCCCGTAGCATTAGTTCCGATAACTATGAAGCCATCGCTAGGGACACCGAAATTTCTACTTATGAAAGAACGGTTCTTCTACCAAAGAAGAGCAATACCCCAATTTCATCGACTGAGAGATGGCCGGCCAGATGACCTGAGAGCCCTTCCTACAATCCAAGTACAAGTTTCACTCCCCTAAGAAGGGACTACGTCTCCAAGGAATTGCGCAGCTCCTTCCGGGACAAGGCCGCCCTGCTATATCATGAGGGACAATGGGATGATTTACTTGATCAGATGCACACTCTGATAGAGAAAATCGGCCCAAATGATCCAGAGTATAGCGAATGTTTGGGCATCATGGGCCTGGCACTATTATTCTGCTCGGGTCAGGAGAGACGGGCCGAAGTCATTCTTCAACGAGCAAAACAAACTAGCAAGGAGAGCCATCATGCGGGTCTCAACTACTTGCTTGCCAGGGCTTACATCAGGCAGAATAAGAATGATCAGGGCGCCGCACACTTGCGTCAAGCTTTACATGACCTGTTGCAAGAGTCAGGTCCAGATCAAGAGCTGAACTTTGAAGGATATAATCTTGGCCTCATACTTCTAACGAATTTCAGGACGAAGCCGGAAGGCCTAGAGTTGCTCAAACATGTGCAGAACCAATCCTATATAATGTGGCCACAACATCCGGTGGGGCTGAAAGCCTTGACCGCGCTCGATGCCCATCGTGCCTGATTGGTCAGTAGGATGGATCTACTAGGGCTATACGTCAAAAGCTTCGATGCCTGAGACGGAGACTTGGAGCCGCTCTCAAGGGCAGAAGTTCTACTGTTAAATGTATTGTACGTACTAGAGACCAGGACAGAATTAATAACAAGAATGGATACCGAGGGTGACCGAGGAGAATGAAAATGAGCATTAAATGCAGAATATGTCGTATGCCTACAGCTCCTCGCGATTCGGGTGATTCTTGCCCCAACTATAGCGCACTCACCCTTCTCACCCCCGGTCGCGCGACTTTAAAGCGGCGTTCACCCTAAACTTACCCGGATGACTCCCACCCGACTACTGGCCGCACATATGCCACACACCATACAGAGTAGTGAGGTCTGATCAACGGCCTTTGTAAGTATACTTACTATATAACTCCTTTTCATGTTAGATTCAGTACATACGACCATAGGGTGTGGAGAACAGGGCTTCCCGTCCGCTCAGCCGTACTTAAGCCACACGCCGGTAAGTTAGTAGTTAGGTGGGTGACCACTAGCGAATCCTTACTGTTGTATGTTTTTCTTTTTCCTTTTGTTAAAGACAAGCGCTAAAATAGGATCTTGACAACGTAACATTCTCACATAGTTCGAATCCGTGGTATCAGTACACCAAAGCACAAATCTGTCCACGATGGGTCGCTGTGCCAGCTGCGGTAATAAATCCAGCCAAAGACGGCGAATCTGTAGTATGGGTATGCCGCCATCAAAGCTGACAGGAACAGAAAGTTTTCTATTAACATCAGGAAAATCCTCAAGATTAACGTATACAGTCCCATTCACAGCAATCTTCAACATTGCCGCGCCCGGATACGGTCCAAAGAGGAACCCAATATTCCGGCAGTTAATCGGTGGGATTCCCGTAAGTCTCTCTGCCTCATTGCGGCTTCGTCAAATATGCCCAACTGACCATGCCTTTGCTATAAGTTACTTGTTTGCTGTGGTGGCTACTGATGCTGTATGTGCACCGAGACAGAGAATAGTCGTTTCTGCGTTGTAAATTATTCAGGCCGCTACTTGAACGCTCGAAAAGTGACCACGTGCTGAGGCATCTTCCGGCCCATCTCTCTTAAAATTGAGCTTAGTTACATGCCGTCATTCCCGAAATTAAATTTGACTTCCAGGTGCAGACATGGTATCTTTACAAGAAATGCTCGGTCGAACCACGGTCGGACCGTTCTTTTTTTGGCGGGAGCGTATTGACCTTCCTTTTCGTGGAGACCGAGTGGAGCGCGATGGCATCTCCACAAAATGATCACGATCCGGAAAGCCATAGTGGAAGCTCGGCAAGACAAACTTCAACGCGTATCGACTTTCTTTGTGCAAGCTTTACCTCTTTAGCGCTGATCGCTCTTCTTATAAAATTCTGCCTGATGTAATAAGAAACTGCATCCATCTTTAATGATTTACTGCTAAATGCGACAAAGCGGGATGCGAATCCACAATTATATAGTTACATCCCTCACATCGCTCTTGGACCTTCCCACTTTCCAAAGCCCCCTTATAAAAGTGCCGGCTTGTTCTTTTCGCACTTCATTCCTCTAACCTTCAAAATGTTTAACCAGCACACCAAGTATGTCATTGCCAATGGAATTCTTCGTCACAGAATTAACCCTTCTCCCTCTACAGGAAGACCTATACCCTTAATACCGGCGCTAAAATCCCCGCCGTCGGTTTGGGAACATGGCAGTCCAAGCCCAATGAGGTCCGTGAGGCCGTCAAGAACGCCCTTCTCGCTGGATACCGTCATATCGATACTGCTCTGGCCTATGGCAATGAGGCCGAGGTGGGCGCGGGTATCAAGGACTCCGCCGTGCCCCGCGAGGAAATCTGGCTCACCACCAAGCTGGACAACACCTGGCACCACTGCGTGAACAAGGGCATTGACTCCTCTCTCAAGGACCTCGGTACTGACTACGTCGACCTCTACCTGGTTCACTGGCCCAGCTCCACCGACCCTGAAGACAAGTCTAAGCACCTGCCCGACTGGGACTTCATCAAGACCTGGTAAGGGAAACTTAGACACACATTTAGCGAAGATCATAGACTAGCCCTTAACACTGAATACAGGCAAGAGATGCAGAAGCTGCTCGCCACGGGCAAGGTCCGCAACATTGGTGTCTCCAATTTTGGCATCCGGCATCTAGAGAAGCTCCTCAACGACCCGAGCACCAAGATCGTCCCCGCCGTCAACCAAATCGAGCTGCACCCCAACAACCCATCCCCCAAGCTAGTTGCATATAACACCTCCAAGGGTATCCACTCCACCGGCTACTCATGCCTAGGCTCAACCAACTCCCCTCTCTACAAGGACCCCACTCTCCTACAGATCGCAGAGAAGAAGGGCAAGACCCCTCAGCAAGTGCTCTTGGTCTGGGGTATTACCAAGGGCTGGAGTGTCATTCCCAAGTCTGTCAGCAAGTCTCGTATTGAGGCCAACTTCGATATCAACGGCTGGAACTTGACTGCGGAAGAGGTGAACCAGCTAGACAACCTTAAGGACCGCTTCAAGGTCTGCGGTGACTCCTGGTTGCCTATCAAGGTATTCTTCGGCGATGATGAGGAAATCGCTCGCCATGATAATGTATTATCAGTACATAAGCTTTAGATACCAAAAGAATGATTTTTCCAAGCAGTAACACATAAGATAAAGTCGCTTCCTACTTTTTTCGTCCATACTCAATGGCTCATCGCCAACATCAAACTCGTCCGTTGGAAGTTCCTCGCCGTCGTTGTGTGGCATCGACGCACCTGCTTGCTTTCCCTGTAGCATAGCCACACTGCCAACCGTTTGTTGCACCGAAGGAGCCTGATATTTATCACGATAAGCACATTATTATATTGTGAGTTAGGTATGCTCGAATCAGTGTGCTGATGTAAAATTGGGTAACTTGCATGTATAGGGCGGTCATGAATTCGAGAAACAATCTTGCCAACCAGGAGGACTAAGTACTTTCTCTGTATTTTTACAACCACCGCTAAAATCCTACAGTTTCTCCATAGCACGTGCTGATGATCCGGCCGAAAGTTGAACTGTCAGGATCATCCCCAAATGTGATGCCCTCCAGGAGGGAGATGAAGCCGCGGTACGTGTTTCCGCCCAGGTGGCACGATTTAGCTAACTGTGCTTTTACGGATCGCAAAAGACGAAGTGGAATATCTCACTCATGGGTGGCTTCCTGTGAGAAATCGTCCTACACAGGAGATTAGGGAGGTGTCACCGTCGAAGGTTGACATACAAAAGGAATGCCTTCTTTTTCCAGACAACCTCGGACCGAGCTCGAAAAAAACCTGGGTCGGTATTGGTGCCTTGAAATCCTTTCGGGAGCGTCTCTCATACGGCCATGTACTTCAGAATTTCCAACTGTCGTGTCTGGTATAGAACAGCTCTGTTTGAAGATACAAAGAACTGAGATTCTCGGCCCTTCGCGTCACACCAGTGCAGAGCAAAGACGCTTCCTTACAGGCGTTCCATCCACTTACCAGCACGAGGTTGATAAGGCATTGAGCGGCAATATTGACTACGTACCTGGTTGACATCTCACAGAGAGTGGGATAAGTCAAGAATCCCAAGGACTTTGTAAAGTCTCCAAAAGATATGGAGGTAATCAAGTCATGAAACAATCTGAATTATCAAGACCAGATAATACGCAGCGTTAAATATTCCATGGTGTTGCTTCAAGCCAGGCTGATGTAGCGGTAGGTTTCATGACCCCATGACTTGTTGCCCGAAGCTAATAGACTCTTCGTCACAAAGGCGTGTTTCACAGCATCAATTGCTCGCCTCACACTTCCGAGATTCCGTGTCTTCTGGATATTGGCCAGCCGATCCAGTACAAAGCGTCTGTGTTCTTCATTTTCCAGGCCTGTGTTCCCAAGCACAAACAGAGGCCATAACAAAGTAGCCATATCAGGAAGTGTGGAGATCAGTTTGATCATCGACGATATAAGACGGCTTTTACACCCTTCAGATAACCTGAGGCTCTTCTGGTCGTCGTCTGGCTCATCCTCGAGACGTTCATTAAGGTAAAGAAAGGCAGCTAGATGTTTGATGTGTGCAATCCTCTCGAGGTCTTCTCTGCCCGTGGAATGTTGAGGAAGCGTCTGTTTCAAGCCAAGAAGGGCGGTGCTAATCTTTAATGATATTTTAGTATAGTGTTGAGTCTCCGCGGGTGTTAAACGTCGGTATTTCTGTATCTGTAGTTATCTCGTGGTCAGGAAAAATTTTCTATAGAGTGGAGTATTCAAGCAGTACTTTTGCTTTTGTGGAGGCATGGATCGAGATATTGTTTATCAAAGTCAACAGGCCACGCGAGCACCCCATCAACATATCGATCTGGCAGGTAGGTCAGCATTCATACAGTGAAGTAATCATAAATGCGTCGTACTTCTTCGAGATTTTCGCTTTCAGACCACAACTCTGAGATGTCATCTTGATGCCAAAATTCAGACGCGGTACGGCTCATGATATTATGAGCTACGAAGTACATCCTGAAAAACTTCCATAAATCGGATGAGCCGTGAGACGTTGTGTAGTCGATAAGTTGCAAGCCGCCATGAAGATGTGTCATCCATGAAGGAGAGCATCCATCTGATATCTACGGTTCACGTTAACAAAAAGGAACTGCAGAAACAAATGAAGCAAGAGACGTACGTCGTGAAAGCACAGCATCAGGATCGAAGCTACCGTGCCATCGTCGTGTACACCAGCGGAAATTTCCTGTCGAAGCCCTTGTAAGGCCATATGCTTATAGTGACAGACTTGCTCGGTAAATTGATCCTTTCCCAGAAGGCATAGTTGATTTGCAGAAACTGCCAGAAGGGCGTGTCGAAGGGTGATGGAGACAAAACATAGGGGAACCACAAGGGAGATGTAAGGATTATACGATTCACTTAGAGAGCAAGATGGGCTGATACCGCGGATAAAATAATCAAGGAGATAGGTCTCCGTGTCCGGAAAAGAATGAAGGGGGTGGTAGATGGAAGTTCGGATCGAAAGGTCCGTACAGCGGTCTATGCTGTTAGGGCGAATCTGGGCCGAAGAATGTGTTCGAGGAACGCCATAGGAGCCTTGAAAGTCACCCTCATTTAAATTCAAAAAGACGAAGCGGCTAGTATACTGGGTTAGAGGAAGTCCTTGGAATATACTTTCCGTTTTCCGGTTATGTGCGGTTGTGCCGGCTCTTTTCCTCCAAACCCCTTACCAAGGAGAGTCAGTAGGAGATAGCCGAAGAAGATAGCGGCAGTAAGTACCTTCACGGCCAAAGCTAATACCGCGTTGGATAGCATCCTCTCGAAACATGATTTTGAGCTCCCGGACGCATTCGAGATCAAGTCTCTCGCAGCGTCTGCATCGGGGGTGCTCTTCGGTGCATTGGATGTGTTGCTCTACTCATGTCAGCGATTTAGTTCCTCGCTTGTTATGATGAGGGTCGTAGTTGTACCTTTGCATTTGGCGCATCCAGTTCGCCTTCTGGTGTTTTGTTTTCGGCGTGGCATAGCGTTAAGGTGAAATGCGGACGGACAGATGGAGGTTCGATGAAAAGAAGACGAATGTGGATGGTGCGGGGGCATGACTCGGACCATTTGCCGAGACAGGAGATAAGGGATACCTCCTCCAATGGACGTGCAGGTCTCTCTTATCGCCAAAACTCTTGGACTGTTAACTTCGCACTGAATCATTGTAAAAACTTTTGCTAAGCGCGGGCAAATTCCCCAAAGGAATGGTTTTGTGACAAATAGCATATTTCAAGACTCATCTAACAACTCTCAAACATAGCCGCTTATAACAATTAACTGTCATCTATTCTGGGTTTATTGTGAAATATATGTTGTCCGAATATGAAAGACAAGAACTCGCCCGCTACGTAGTGTACTTGAATGTCTTTTGCTGAAAGTCGGTTTTATCAGCAAAAGCATCCATCAAGTCCCCATCCGCTTGATCCTCTCCAGGGTTAACCCCAACTGTAAGTCGGCCATTCAATCTGTGCGCAATAACCCAGTAGACTGCCATCAACAGAACGCAGACGCAATAGCAAGCCAGCATGGCAACAAACCCTCCTGTGTATGCTGGTGCTTGATTTGCTCGAAATGTCTGCGGCCCGATGAGGTTTCCGACGGCATAGCCAATATAAAGAATAGAATACTGCACGGCCTTCTTGGTATTACCCGCCGTGTTAGCCTGAGCCATGGAGATTCCCACAACGTACGGACCGAAGTATGTGTATAGCTTTACAGAAATGATTAGTCGGTTGTACAGTGCTAAGCTGGAATGTGAACTCACCAGATAGATACCAACCATCTGACCACTTAAGTTCGTTCGCGGTAAGACGTAGACAAGGATGGCACCAATTATAGGGACACAGGATGCCATCATTGTGACCAGACAGCGACGGTTGGTCCACTTAGCAGCGATCCAAGAGAAGCAGAATGCGGACAAGGTAGACATCACACCGGTCGGCATGTTAAGCAGGGACGTAATCATGGGTGAAAAGCCTAGGTTATTGATGATGATGCCGCTGAAGGTTGTGAGTCCTCCGTTGGGAATATTGATGGCGATGTTGAAGAAAAATAGAACCCATGTCTTCGGATCAATTGCCGCCTCCAGGGCCTGATCCCACTTCCATTGCCGGTTTGTGATGCCAGTTTTGTTCTCAGCCAGGCGTTGGACAGCGTGGTACTTCTCTCTATCGTTGAGGAAAAATGCATTCATAGGGGTGTCCGGGAGGAAAATCAAAGCTATAATAGACCAAAGGGTAGAAATAGAGCCTATCGACTAAGTCAGAAACATTAAGTGAAGTTCATTCAGGTCAGACGTACCAGTGATCAGAAAAAGGTATTGCCAAATAGAAAGTGCTGCAGTAGATGGAATGTGACCGACCGCCCACGACAGGAAGCCGTTGATGATGGAACTCGCCGCCGCAAATACCAGGGCATTGCGAGGGGGCTGCTCAGACTTTTTGTAAAACCCGGCAACGATAATAGAAATTGATGGAACGATAATCGCCTCCAAGCAACCTAGGCAATCTCATTTAGTGTCATTCAATCCGGTTCATCATAGCTGACCTACCCATAAAGAATCTTAAAGCCATCAGTCCGCTCCAGTCACGAGACACTGGCAAGAGAAGTGCCATGATTGACCAGCCTAACGAGCATGCAGACAGGTATTTGCCAGTGGGTAGCCTGTGGACCAGGTACGTGGATGGCCACATACCAACGATGGCCTGCCACTAGGTTAGAGAAGATGAAACCACCGTTTGAGATGTTACGCACCCCGAGAGATAAGATGGAGCCAGCCCAAGAATACTGCTGACCCACAAGATGAAGGTCATGTTTGAGGCCATAGATGGCCGCAGTACTGATAGCGACCTTATCAACCGCACCCAAGGTAGCGGTCATAAAGAGCTAAGAAAAGGTTAGCTTTCTTGCGTGCCCCAAGAGGGGGACTGGCAACATACCATTGGCAGCAGAATCCAATCCATCTTGCGTACCATCTTCTTCTCTTCTTCCGGGGACAAAGGTGCAAAGCCAGTGCTATGAGCAAGATACTCTGCTGCCTCATCCATTGCCCTAGAGATACCCTGCTTCTCTACTTCCGGTGTCTCGACAGAAACTTGGCCTTTCTGATCTGCCATTGCGAAGAAACTTGAAGAGCGAACGATATAATTGACTCAGGAGGAGGACGATGATGATGACCAGCAACAAACCGATTTGAGACAGCCCGCTGATGGCAGTCTTATAGTCGTGACTCCCTATCTCGAGCATGTCGAGATAAGGATCCGGTCCAAGCAAACTTTTCCCCGCAATGTCTTGAATTTTTGATAGCCAGTTAGGAGGCCCGTTTGTGGATACTAGCTCTGGAGGCGATTGGTGAATCGTCTAGCTGGAGACCGTGTGGACCTTCCGCGCAATGTTGGGGAAAACTTTCGAAGAAAAGGTTGTGGGGTGACCCACTTATAGATAACGGTCGCCGGCGATTGGATAATCGGCCAGCTATAAGCCGTATCGACCTTCTTCGACATTCGCATCCCAATCCCGAGTCTCTGGGCCCGAATGTTTAAACTCCGCAAGTGCTCGCTCATATTGGCGCATCGTGACGACCTTACTCTTTCGACAACGTGGTTCAGCGTTGCAATCCACCTGCAATTATAAAAGTGTTTTCAATCCCAAAGGAACCCAAGATGCAGGTGCAGAACAATTTACATTTTCTTCCAATTTTCCAAGATGACGGTTACGAAGCCGATGGTCGGAGGCGTCAGAATTGCCATCGGTACGACTTTAAAAATGCTTGCACAACCAAAAATCCTACAATAGTAGCGCTAATTATGCTCTCTTAGATCGCGGAGGCACATTCACCGATGTGTGGGCGAGTCTGCCGGGAAAGCCCGACGTCGTTCTAAAGCTGTTGTCTGTTGACCCTGGTAACTATGCCGATGCGCCAACTGAGGGTAAGAAAATATAATGCTTCTGCCAGAGCGTTTGGGAAAGCGGGCTGATAAGCTATTGTAAAGGTATCCGACGCGTCCTTTCGCTGTACCAAGGACGGGAAATACCTCGCGGGGTTCCTCTTCCGAAAGATGATCTCGAATTCATCCGAATGGGAACAACAGTAGCGACGAATGCCTTGCTTGAAAGGAAAGGAACCAAACATGCCTTTCTCGTTACCAAGGGCTTCCGCGACTTGCTGAAAATCGGATATCAATCCCGACCACGCCTCTTTGATCTAAACATCGTTAAACCCGATGTCTTGTACGCCGATGCCAGGGAAATCGATGAGAGAGTGACAATTGAAGGTTTTGATGAGGACTTGGATGGTTTGTTCAAGTCGGACAACGAGATACCAGGAGTCCTCGTGAGGGGCTCGAGTGGTGACATGATCCGCATCTTGAAGCCTCTCGATGAAGCTGCTGTGAGACAAACTTTGCGAGAACTACGATCTCAAGGCTATGATACTGTTGCAGTATGCCTGGCGCATGCCTATGTTTTTCCAGCCCATGAAAGCCGAATCGAAGAATGGGCTCTAGAGGAAGGCTTCACCCATGTGTCGTGTTCGTCTTCTGTGGCAGCCAAGATGATCAAGATGGTGCCCCGTGGAGGCTCTTCGTCAGCCGATGCGTATCTCACCCCTGAGATCAAAAAGTATCTTAGTGGATTCTCAAAAGGATTTCAAGGTGGCAATTTGGATGGTGTGCGTTGTGACTTTATGCAGTCAGACGGTGGACTTGTAAGTCATGACCGTTTCAGTGGCCTCCGAGGTATCCTTAGTGGACCTGCTGGTAAGACTAGACCTACGACTGTGGTTAGGGAACATTAGACTGATAATCAGCAGGGGGTGTTGTGGGCTATGCTCGCACATCTTACGACGATCACACAAAAACCCCAGTTGTTGGTTTTGACATGGGAGGAACCTCGACTGATGTTTCTCGGTACGGCGGCAACTTCGAACATGTCTTCGAGAGTAATACCGCTGGTGTTACTATTCAGAGCCCGCAGCTTGATATCAACACTGTTGCCGCTGGAGGTGGCTCCATTTTGTTCTGGCGAAATGGTCTATTCATAGTAGGCCCTGAAAGTGCTTCGTCGCATCCAGGCCCTGCATGTTATCGTAAAGGCGGGCCTTTGACAGTAACAGATGCCAATCTATTCCTAGGGAGACTCATTCCTCATTTCTTTCCCAAGATCTTCGGTGAGAATGAAAACCAGCCACTTGATGTGGAGATAGTGAAGAAGAAGTTCATCGCAATGACCGATGAGATCAACCGCGATACTGGAAAATCACTCTCTCCTGAAGAAGTCGCCTGTGGTTTTCTTGATGTTGCCAACGAAGCCATGTGCCGACCCATTCGGGCGCTGACTGAGGGTAAAGGGTATGACATCGGTATGTGCGATCCCAAATCCCTTTGTGGATATTTTCCTAACACTTAATAGCGAATCATAATCTTGCTGTTTTTGGAGGTGCAGGAGGTCAGCATGCTTGCGAAATTGCTCGAACACTCAAGATCTCCACAATAGTCATTCACAAGCTCTCAAGTATATTGTCCGCATACGGTAAGTCGCTTACTTTTAGATGTTTTAGGATATGTACTAATGTTCCAAAGGCATGGCGCTGGCAGACGTCGTTCAAGAGGCACAGGAGCCTATGAATGAGAGATACAACGAGACTTCTCGTGGTCGACTGGAAGAAAGACTTTCTAAACTTCAACTCGTCGTCCGAGAACGATTGATGGGACAAGGCATCCGAGAAAAGAGCATCACTTATGAGATGTATCTTAACATGAGATACCAAGGTACAGAAACCTCGATCATGGTCCTCAAACCTGCCGACGGTGACTTTAAGGGTCAGTTCAAGAAGATCCATATGCGAGAGTTCTCCTTCGTCTTTCCCGACGAAAAGGCGATCTACGTCGACGATGTGCGTGTCCGGGGCATAGGTGCAAGTGAAAGAGAAGACTGGGAGGGAGAACAACTTGGAGAACAATTGCGCACTTTCAACTTCCAACCTGTCTCCTCGAAGTTGGTGGAACGTATGGTAAGTATTCCTTGGATTCCCCACCTTTATACCCATTACTCATTATTATAGGTCCCCGTCTATTTCCAGAACACCGGGTACAAGCAAACTCCTGTGCTGGTGCTCGAAAGTTTGCTGCCCGGTCTATCAATTGATGGACCCGCTGTGATCATTGATCAGACCCAAACGCTTGTTGTGGCACCGGGTGCTGTAGCCAAGGTCCTCCGCTCCCATATTGTCATTGACATTATTTCTAATTCCACTGCAACTATTGAGCAGCCAGCTGTGGTTGATCACATCCAGCTCTCTGTTTTTGGGCATCGCTTTATGAGTATCGCGGAGCAGATGGGTCGTGCTCTACAGAAGACAGCAGTTTCTCTGAATATCAAAGAGCGACTTGATTTCTCTTGCGCTCTATTTGGACCTCAGGGTATGCTTACATGACTATTTATGTTTTGAAACCAATTGACATAATTATGCGCAGGTGATCTGGTTGCCAATGCTCCTCATGTCCCCGTTCATTTAGGATCAATGAGCTACGCAGTCAAATACCAACATGAACTGCACAAAGGCAAGCTATGTCAAGGAGACGTACTGGTAGCCAACCACCCAGAATCTGGAGGCAGTCACCTTCCAGACATAACCGTCATTACTCCGATATTTGAAAAGACAGGCTCGACTGTGGCTTTCTATGTTGCCTCAAGAGGCCACCATACGGACATTGGCGGACTTGGTGGTACATCAATGCCACCTAATTCCACAGAGCTCTGGCAAGAGGGAGCAGCTATCCGGTCCTTTAAATTGATCCATAAGGGGGTTTTCGACGAGAAAGGTATCACCGACATACTCTTGAGCCCAGGCGACTACCCTGGCTGTACCGGGAGTAGGCACATCCAAGACAACATCTCAGATCTGAAGGCGCAGATTGCTGCGAATCATAAAGGCATGGTACTGGTTCAGGCTCTCATTGAGGAATACACTCTCCCTGTGGTCCAAATGTACATGGGGGCTATCCAGTCCAATGCGGAACTGGCTGTGCGTTCCTATCTTCTTGATACACTCTCCAGACTCGGGCCCCATCTATCGGCCGTCGACCAAATGGACAACGGAACCTTGGTCAAACTCACGGTGGATATATCCAAAGATGGCTCGGCAACATTCGACTTTACTGGCACAGGGGTCGAAATGCTAAGCAACATCAACGCTCCGCCAGCAATCACCCACTCAGCCATAATCTACACGCTTCGTCTTCTAATTGGCACCGACATTCCACTAAACCAAGGCTGTTTATCGCCAATCCATGTGATCATTCCGAAAGGAAGCTTCCTCAACCCGTCAGCTGGGCCTGCCGTCTGTGCTGGTAATACGCAGACCTCGCAGCGCCTGGTCGATGTGATCCTACGCGCTTTCCGTGCTGCTGCCGCCTCACAAGGGTGCATGAACTGCATCGGGTTCTTCGGGGAGGGTGGCACCGACAGCACCGGTCAGAAGCTCAAAGGCTATGCGTATGCATTTGGCGAGACAATTTGCGGCGGCTCCGGTGCCACGGCGGCACAAGATGGCGCGTCAGGTGTGCATACCCATATGACAAACACGCGCATCACAGACGTGGAGAGCCTTGAGAAGCGGTATCCTGTCATTCTGCGTGAGTTTGCTATCCGTGAAGGGACAGGTGGCAAAGGGTATCATCACGGTGGAAATGGTGTGGTGCGCGATATTGAATGCCGGGCTCCCCTGAGTTTCAGTGTTATCACAGAACGCCGAAGTGTGCCTCCATACGGAATGGAGGGAGGGGATGATGGTGAACGTGGTGCGAACTACTGGGTGAGGAAGGCGCAGAATGAGCAGGGGGCCGATGAGTGGCGCTGGGTTAATATGGGATCGAAGAATATGGTCCGCATGCAGGCGGGAGATCGATGTGTGATTCATACGCCTGGAGGGGGTGGGTGGGGCTATGCTGGGGCAGCTGGGGATACCACTGGGCATGCCGAGGGCCGGAGCCAGAATACCTTGGTCGAATATCCAAGGGCATCCGGCAGTGTGAGCGCCTATGATGCTGCTCAACAGGCATCAAACTAGGTATCCCTTCCTATAGATAGTTACATGGACGCAAATTTGTAATATCACCAGTTTACCCTGCAATACCAGTCCACTGGCCGGCGACTCTGAGCAGGCCGATTTTGCATCTTGACAGTATCGGTTGTGAGTATCCGCTGTTGCATATCGTGATTCTATTGTACCCTACCTAGTGCTATCTAGAATGATGTGCTAGATGTATTCTCATCAATATGGCTTTTCTTTCATTCACAAAAACCTCCAGAACGCTAAAATAACGGTATTTTATGTATTGGAGGGTCGCTGAGGTTGGACCCGTGTTGCAATAGACAGGAGGAGGAAATGTCAGAAATGACGTTTGCATAGTTTGCATAGTTTGCATTGTTTAATCATTAGTAATGATCCAATATAAATTGCCAGAATTGAGGGTTTAGAAATGTAGATAGAAATATATTCCTGGTGCGCCCGCGACGTAGAGCTCTTATTAAATTAAGTCACCGCCGTTTCCTATGAACCACTAACCTAGGCACTGCCTATAAGCAGTCCTACGCCGCCGCCGGCATCTCAGGCTACGGCCTAGGGTGAGAATGCCTAGTCTGACCGGCTTAGGAAGCGCCGGAGAGCCCTCTAAAATGCCTCAGGATGTATTGGATAGCTCCGTATATAGGAAATATACGAGAATTTATTGCTTTCTCATACTTTGTTTCCAAATTTTGCTAGAATAGCTGGATTACTTCAAATCCGCAGGGTTTTCAAAATCAGCCTCTATTTCCTAGGACTAGGTCCTTTCTAGGAATTGGTCAGTGGTCGGAATAGGTCCAGCTGGTGGTTCATAAGAAACAGTCGTGACTTAATTTAATGAGAGCCCTACGTAGTGAACGGAAGTACCAAGTTTCATGGCCGTCGATACTCCGACCATAAGTATTGCTAAGAATTCACGCAATTTTACCGAATAATGCATTGGAAATGTAATTACTGCCTAAGGCCTATTCAGGCTTAGCGTGAGCTGATCGGGTCCAAATGCTAAGAACGGGGGGTCCTTTTAATTTTGACCTAAAACATACACTTAGAATTCCATATCAAAATTCACTATGTTTGTTTCTGAACTATGCCGTTACACTGTGATGCATTCAACGTCTCTTGCGTAATGTAAGAACATGGTGCTCAGTATGCGAGTCACATAGAATTTTAGATTCTAAGGCCTTCCTTACCACGCTTGTCTTGATAGAAGTATTTGAAGCTTAAATATCCATCAAATATCCTCGCCTGTCTCGAGAACAGCTTGGTGATGGGAATGATGGGAAATGTGCTTCCGAAGCGTCCGCTTCCAGGGGATTGAACGACTGGTACTGCTGGAGATTCGACTGCCGGCAACAACTCGGGACCAGTCGTACTGGGGGAGGATAACTAGCTATGGCAAACCACATATAATTATCTGCATTCTGGGCCGCCGAGTCAGGATCCACTGCCGCTAGATACCCCGTCAATACGGCACCATATGCCTTCTTGGACTTTTGGTCAGTGGGATCAATGAAGATTTCATCTTCTATTTAAAACATGGTATTAGCCAGTGCGCTTTCACTCAGACCACAAGAATTCCAAACCTGCGCCGCTCGCCATGTGCATGAGCTCGTGTAGGAATGTACCTGGTGTCGACATCGCCGGTTGCATATTCTTTCCGTCCGCGATTGTTCGTTTACCACTCCTCCACTCGCTCAATGAGTGCTTGCGAGATGGATACTCAAACGATAAAGGACAAAATGTAATTGAACGCAAGCCACCGTATGCGGTAAACCCAAAAGTGTTACCTTGGCACATAATGTGGTCCGGACCATAGTTTTTGAGCCGGGGCGACCATGTCTGCCATTCGGAGCGGGGTAATTGGGCGGTTGACATTAGTGGTGAGAACCAGAACGATGTTGGTCTCAGTCTTACAATTGGCGTCATTCTTCAATAGCGTTCCTGTTTTATCTCCCGTTTCCTTGTCGTGTACCCATCGGGTTCTCCAACGCCACTTCTCAGAGCAGGAGAGGGTTGGGTCCACTCCTTCATACTCGGCTTTGGAGTCGTCAACGACCTCAGCGAAATTTTCTATCGGATCCCGTTAGCCTTCATGCATGAAATTTACTTCGAGTAAGATATCGACGTGCCTTGCACCGCCTCGAAACGAGAAACACTTGCTGCTGCAACTGTATGGCTTGTAGGGTTCTCCTCGATTCCAAATCATGTAAACAGGTTTGCTCTGACGTTTGCATCAGTATTGTAATTGTTGATAGCCTCGAGGGCAATGGATGCCATATCGATGGCTTCTCTATACACGAGAGCTATGTCAAATCCCTTTTCCACATCGACGCCCTCACAGGATCCGCCCATGTTGCCAATCCGTGTGATGGGGCCAGTGCCTTGCTCCACGAGAAAGCGTGTATAAACATCTTGTGACCAAGCCTGGGTTGAGAGAAACCCAATGACTTGCAGGATGACCAGTAAGGGGTTGAGATAGATATGGTGTACGATCTTCATCATGAGACCGCCGACCTACTATAATGAAGCACCTGTTTGCGCCTGAAAGCGGGTGCACTGCTATTTAATATGACCTGGTTTCCCAAGAGCATTGTAATTTGCTTAGCTATCTATAGTTGTGTGAAACCAACGCATCTAATTTGGTGACTAGGTCGTTGTGGATTGTCGCTTTGATACAAATTTCTCTGAAATGCCATAAAATGAGCAACCGGTTGAGCCATTGTTGCGATGGTAGTGGCCGGTCGGCTGTACAATACCATGCTATATCACTAGTAGATATGTTCCCCTCTTGAGTTCGTGTTCCACAGTAGTAACGAGAAGCAAAATAGGAAAATATACAAATGTAGTGATTCGCTGGTATTCACCCACCCGACTATTGACCAACCGGCGTTTGGCTTACGTGCGGTGTACTAGAAGATCGCAATTTCCCCTTCCAATCCAAATTCCTCTGCGAAGTCTTTGCCAACGGGGTCTGTATTAGTGCCTTGGCGAAGCCACTCTGTTTAATATGGGCCGGCGTTCCCAACTTTGAAGAACTCACCTTCAAAAGATACTTCAATCTTCAAAATGGCACTTCATACCATCTACGCACTCATCAGTCTACAAGTTGTGCGAGTGCTGGTGTTTTCTCCCGCTATGGTTACAATTCTGGGCCCAGCGTCAGCGTCGACTGCAGCGGGCCAAGTGATTGGCTTTGTATGTATCTCTTGCGTAAAACTACAAATACTCTCCCTCACATTTGACTGGATGTTGCTATACTCTGAATCCCTCACGTCTTATCGCATTGATGGGGTTGATGGCAACCCGGTTACTCTGGTTGCAAACCCATCTGAGTATCATCAGATCTATGTCTATTCCGACGGGGAGTACGTTTCTCCTTTCCCCAAGCTCTGCTGACTTGACTTTGTCAGTCAAATCAAGGCTCATCATTTTCTTACTCTCAGTGCCGTATCTCAAGGTTGTAGCCTTGCCGAGCAGCTCGTCCATTCAATGCAAAGTCTACATGTCAAATGAGGACTCTGGCTCAACAATCTCCTCTTCTCTCCCCAACAGCATTGCCGATCAAATAGGTAACTACGTGATCGAAGTCCCGGAAACAAATACACATATACAAGCGGAGACAGTGGTCAAAACATCTACGGAGTCTTCCCCGCGCTCAGGCTTAGCAACAACCGACCAGACAACCTCCACACCGACTGGTGGCTATTCCTCAGGTACAAGCGATGAGCAGATGACGAGCCCTATATCAACGAACGACGCTTGCAAGGTTTTAGAAGGCCGCTCCTGGATTGGATCTTTCTTGGTTGCAGTGCTTGCTGTTATTTGATGGCTCTCAGATCTGAAGAATGGCTCAGCCTCTAAACAATTGATCTGTATCCATTTTGGATTTTTCTCTCAATCAACCTCCATGGCTTGTGCCAAATCCTCAACAGTATATCTAATTTACAAAATACGTGTTCTAGGCCATCTTCACTTCTTTGCAGACTAGGAGGTATTGACAAGGTGCTAGTAATCGAACTTATCAGGGAGATCTATCGAAAACAATAACTGCAGCGACAATCAACCTCCAGCGAAAAGCTGCGTCAACTCGCACCATTCTTTCAAAATCGGTATGTCGATGCAGTTACCCATCAGATTCTCGATGGGATCTAAAGTCCACACCGCACAGTTGCTCTCAACTTCGCCACCAATGCGAAGCAACGCCGCACTATACGCCTTACAGCCCACGACCTTGTTGAGAATTCGCTTGCAGTCATCTTCCTCGATCTTGAACTCGCAATTATTCTTACCGGCGACGCCAACAATGACATTAGAAAGCCAATCACCAGGTGCTTTGACTTGGAGATATTCATTATTGGCAATTCTTTTACCATCGGCCCACTCGCAGAATCCATCAAGGGCACTCTGAACGGTATCACCAAACACCTGTCTGTTTGGGTAGCCGTAACAGGTTTTATCTTCTGTGTCTGGATTGGGCTTGGGTGGCGCCGGGTCCGGATCTGGCTGATCTACAGGAGGGGTGGGCTGAGGCGCTGGCACAGTGATCACCACCGTTTCGGTAAGAGTTGGCACGATAGGGTGGTCAGTGAAGGTATAGCTGACGGTTCCTGTAGTCGGGGAACCAGTGCCTGCATTTGTGGGGCGACTGTCCTCCCCATCACCCGTGTCCGAGTAAGCCGGAATGTCCGGCTCGTCGTTGATCGCATCGGAGCCGTTGTCTTGAATATCACCAGCGTCTGTCGGTGGAAGCAGAACGCAGGTGGCTCCATCTTCTTCGTCGCGGTCTTCGTCCTCCTCATCCTCTTCCTGCAAAGGCCATTAGTTGTTATGCAATCATAATAAAGCCAGCAACTGTGGTAGTACTTGCGTCTTTTTGATCTTCCGAGGGTTTGTTTTCAGGGTTAATTGGCCCTGGCTTTCCGCCTGGTGGCACAGGCTCCACGGTCACCTCTGGAACTTTAGGGGGGTAAGGCTTGATTTGAGGTGGACAGAGGCCAAAGCGAATGGTTCCTAGTACAGGAACTGTGATTTTGACACATAGAGGGTCTGGTGCAGGAACGGGCCCGATGACTTTGGTGGGCTCAGAGCCCTTCTCACTAGTCACTGTATGTTTGTAAATGCGGATCTTTTCAGTCGTCTGGACTGGGGGAGTAATGGTGGCAGACTCGGAGCCCGATGTTGTCACGAAGGTAGAAGGAGTCCAAGTGGTTGTAGTGGTGACAGGAGGAAACATCAGAGTACAAGGATAAGAACAGGAGACGGTGAGGGGGCCGTCCCAGAAGTCATCATCAATGTACAGCACACCACTTGTACGATGATCATCATCATCTGCATAGACACCAGACGACGTGTCACTCAACGTCAAACCCGCAGGAATATCGAATGGGAATGAGAAGTTGTATCCCCTGGGAATTACAATCTCCCATGGAAGCGTGGTGCCAGCGCCCCAGGTGGCACGGGAGGCATCAACCACCTGTTGGTTCACGCGGAGGCCGGCTGGGAGAATCAGACCACGAGGAAGGGGAGTGTTGGGGGATATCTCGAGGGGATTTTTGACACCACCGTGAACGCCACAGCAGGTCGAGGTGATCAAGCGAGCCAAGTCACAAGTCTCGCACTCCTCCGCACCCGGGCCCTTCGGCTTGTTCTGATTACCATTGTTTGCAAGACTTTGAATTTGAGAAACAACAGGTCCTCCAACCGTGAATGTTGCCGTCGAAGCTGGTGTCGTGGCCGGGAATGGAATCACAGTGGCTTCATCTGGAGACTTGTATTGAACCAGACCACCACCACCATCCAGGTCGACTGCCCAGTCAGAAACACCTCCCAGGTTGAGCCCCTTGTAATATTCAATTCTTGAAGCTTTTGTCTTGTCTGCAAGCCAAGCAATCCATTCAACATCATCATAGACGACAATATCTGAGTTCGAGGCGCCATCATGCCATGTGTCGACACTACGCTTGCTCAGCTGCCCCTGACGAATGATATCCCGGATCTCAGCAGCAGCGATATATCCCCCAGTGTCTGTGCATTCGCCTTTGGCTGCATCTGATATTTCCCCAGATCCTGTGTAATGACAGTCTGGCCCAGTACATCCAGGCTGAGACATGTGGAAACTGCGGCCATAGCTAGTGATGCCGGCAAAGATCTTCTTGGAAGATACTCCGGCTTTGGTGATCATACTGAGGGACTCAGTGGTCTCGGTGAGATTCACGTGGGACCGAAGACAGTTTCCTTCCGTACAACCGGGAGTTGTCCATTCTTTGCCGTAATCCCACTGACCGTGGAGATCATAGGTCATGTAAATGATATAGTCCACGACCTCGCTGATTTCCTTGATTGGGAATCCACGAAGATACCAGTATGATGCGGGCGCCGCAATTGACACGGTTTGATCTGGCAGACGTGATTTGACCGTCTTCAGGAACTCCAGATACCGTTCACCATCCTTTTTCTCTCCGGGAGGAACCCCGGGGATATCGGGAGCAGCGGGGTATTCCCAGTCAAAGTCAACACCATCAAGATTGTTCTCCTTCACGAAAGCGACTACCGCATTAGCGAACTTTTCTCGCTGCTCATCTGTGACTCCATCACGAAAGATCGTATATGTCGGACTATCGGTGGAAAAGGCCCAACCACCAAAGGACACAATTCGGTTGATACCAGACATGCCTTTGAGCTTCGCAAACTGCTCTTTGCTGTCACTGATATCCACCTGGAATTCATCCGTTATATTGGCAAAAGCAAAATGGATATGAGTGAACTTGTTGGTGTCAATATCAGTCACGTCCATGTGGAGGCAAGGGCGGTCTTTGTTGAATGCCTCGTAGTAAGCGACGTGAGACCAACTTGCCGGCGGCTCATCGTTGTTCACAATGTCTAGCCCACAGCTAGAGATACAGCCATTCTGCTTTTTGCTTGTACCTGGCGCTCCTGTGCTCGCGAGATCTTTAACACAGAAATCTTTGGTAATACCGCACTGGCCCCAGATGTTGCAGCATACGTTCAATGGGCAAGGATTGAGATCGGCAATGTCCGTGCCGTTCGTTGGCTTTTTTGTCCCATTGACTTGTGGTCCACAGATCGCGTTATCCAGAGTTGCTGGCATAGGAGGTTCGCCCTTGCTAAGACAGATTCGCTGCTTGTCTTTAAGAGGGTCACATCCTGACCAGCCCCAGGTTTTCTTGTTGAACCCTTCAATATCTTTCTGGGTGAGTTGGTTCTTTGCAGCAATCGCTGCACAATTATCATTCTTCTTGGTGGTATAAGAGTAACAACTGCCGTCATCCCCAGGCTTCGGTTTTAGATCCGGCAAATCCCCTGAGGAACAACAGATAACTTGCTGGGCCCTGAGTGTGCTGCAGAAGTCTTTGTCGGGGTTGTACTCGGACAGCTTTGATCCTGAGATACCGCATCGTTTGGCTAGTTCCGGACAGCCATTGTACTGCTGAACCTCAATGGTCCGACATTGAGCACGCGCGTGAAGGAGGTGGTGAGAACTAGATCCCTCATGGACACTCTGGCCCGATGTCAGAGCTGCTAGCCCCAAGCAGGTCGCCAAGATACTACTTCTGAGATTCATGCTCTCAGCGCGGCGAGGAAACCGCAGACAGTATTTCGAGACGAGCAGTCAGAAGTAGGATGGTGATGTTCGGAGTCAAGGTAGGGTTGAGATTTGCCTGTGAAGGTGAAAAACACACGCTCTCTGAACCCGAATGGTGAAGAATATCTTGAGGGAATAACAGATATGATGGTTAACTTGAACCAGACAGAACTTCCATGTGCGCTTTCAAATGGAACGAGGCGCAGTAGCGGGTATCGATCTGTGACCATGCTAGTGCCGTATGCAGTTAGATGGGCCCCTGCTTCGGTTCGATCCAGGAACAGCCAAGCCAGCCAAGGAGCTATTGTTTTAGTAGGTACCCTGTACTCTACCAATATCTAGGTATTACAATTTCGCCTCATGTATCGATGCTACAATAACTTTTAGGAATTCCAGATGTCACAGGATCTGCCTCGGCATCCCTGACCATTCACATTGCTTGAACCCTCGATAAAGGATATATCTCTAGTAAAACTGTAAATAACATATGATTGGCTTGAAGGGCGGCGTCTCCACCGGGGCAAAAATCTCGATGCGTCAAATTCACGCTTTTTGGAAACCATTCCATATACTGAAATGACTCCATTCATTTCAGTGATTCTTTCACTTTTGTCCATTGATGCACCTTCAATACTTCTGGCCTAAGCCTTCTAGTGTTTGACTCGTATCGAAACTAGTGGGCTCAAATTTCACATCTAAACAAAAAAGCACACTTCGTGTAGTTTGGTATCCAATATGACATCGGTACGCTATAGTCTTGACTACCAAGCGACTTTGCAGTCAGCCGAGTTTACCGTCTTCGGGCCATAGCAGTATCTTTTTTTCCCCCCAGCTTCAACCCATGCGGCGTAGTCAATGGTTGCATCATCAACCATCTCAAAATCAAACTTGAAGATAGTCCAATCGGTATGATGCCCGGTCTTATAACCCGCTGGTATCTTCGATTTTATCCATATTCCAACGGCATTATGAGAGTCACCTTGCCAATTTTGCTCTGTCCGGAAGCCCTTGATTTTTGACGCTCCGGGGACGTCGCAGGACTGCAGTTGAGGAACACCTAATTCTCCTTTAGCTCAAGATTGTCGCTTATAGCTTCGATAAAGCCACTCACAACTTGTTGCACCTCCGTCCCCACCCTCGATCCAGCTTGCGGCAGGCCATTCATCGCATGTCAGCGAGACTCCCAGTTGCTCCCATCCCTCCTTGACAGTACCGTCAGCCATGTGCTTTGTCCGTCCTGTCTTTTTTGCAAGTTGATATTTGAGCTCCGCATCTTGTCCCCAGGGTCCCTTGTAAATGTTTGCGGTCATCCAGCCGCTCTGCCCCTGGCCTTGAAACTTTGGCTGGTTGGGCTCAGGGCAAGTATGTTTATTTTTCCAAGCTTCCGGGCAATTTGCATCGCGACGCTTCGACTTCCGGACCCCCTTCGCATTGCTTTTACTACCGAGGCGATAGTCTTTGTCATAATGAAATGAGCCTTTTGTCTCTCCTTTGGTCCAGTATGCTTTGACTGTCTGGCAAAGGGCGGGAGCTTGAGCGCAGTTGTACTTGAGGGTCGGACGATCGGCACCTAGATCCTGTACTGTGCTTTATGTTAGGCCCCCACTGATAGTTCATATCCAACCCGTGGACGTTCACCAAGTGTGCATACCTTTATAGGTAAAGGCTGCTGTGGTTTTGTCCCCCTGCGCAACCCAAATCTCGTTTCCATTGCTGTCTGTCGATGTTTGCCTTGGCCCTGGAAGCTGGCATGCAACCTGTTGGCCTAGCAAGGCTAAGCTAAATATAACGGATAGTAGCATGGCTTCAGAGTGAGTCTCGAAGGCACTGGTGGTTGCAGACGAGAGTGAGTCGATTGTGTTCTTTGGTCCGTATATAAGATTCGAAAAGTTTCTAGATCTTAAGCACCTACATAAACCAATCCTCTTTCGGCTCTCCATGTCAAACCGGTAACTGGCTTGTATCATGATTGAAACCGTTCAAATTACAAGTCGTTTACTATAGTAGTTTACAATGGATATCAGACTTCATGCTAATGTACCTCATACTAGCGCCGCGGCAGGAAATTATTCTCGCAATTCTCGTTTCATCTTGCCATCCTAGGAATTCCAAAAATGATGGCCTCTTGGCAGATACTCCTGCCAGTTTGGGGGCGAAATCTAATCCTACTGTCTCTACTCTGCATACTTTGGTTTCAATTAGTCAGATGCAAGTAGGGACTCGTGAACCTGCATGGCGGGGCTGTGCCCATCTTGGCTTTTAGCCTCCGAGATGGGACGCATGAGTACTACCTAATCAGAGATTACTGCTGTGATTTCAGGGTCCATGTGATGGGTCCATGTGATAATTCCACCTCGAATTTGATACATGACCCTGCACCATTATAACTGCATGAAATAACGAGTTTACTGAATTTGCTTCATCTAACAAGGCTCACAATACGACCTCGGGACTATTTGCTCGAAACTTTAATGCCCAAACCATTACCTAGGACTGATTCTACCCTGTGTTACTTGCGCAAGTGTTCACTCAAATTACCCAACATGCAAGTTTGCTTGTTCGAACTAGAAATATATCACGGATGTCAAAGATGACCTAGCTTTGCATGATGCCTGGACACAAACCTTGGAAACTATCTTAATTCCGCTCCTATTTGGCAGTCGGAGTAGATGTAGCGGACACGGTTTTCGTCTCCACAACAGTCTCATCGCACATTCCAAATTCAGATTGGCTGTTTTTCTCAGTCAGTTTCCAGAAGCTCGGAATTCCAAAAAAAAAAAAAAAGGGCCGAAGGGGGCTATGAGCACTTACCATCCCTGCAGACTGTCACAGTGCCATTGATCCGTGCCGCAGTACCCGGCTGCAGAGCAGCAATATCCGTAGTAAACATCTGTTCCATTGCAGACATACTGATTCTTATAGCCACAAGAGCCATCTGGAGAGGGGCTAAATGGGGCGTGGCTGGGCCGAGGCGTTGATGTGCTAGTACTGATAGCAGTACTTGAGCCACTCGATGAAGATGAAGTGCCCTGGCAATTGCCTGACTGACAATTGCCAGTACCACATTCCACAGCCGTGCTGCCGCATCTGAGAGTATTCATAAGTCTCGATGTGTAGAGGGATGATATGGTTCTGATTATACTCACTTCCCATCATTCGAGCAGCATTTTCCGAACTCTCCACCGCAATACAGACCATGGTTCTGCTTGCCGCATTTACCATTGGTGCTGTATCCTAATCCAGGGCAGTATCCATCTTGGCAGTAACCAATAGCACAGTGCTCACTGGGCGACTCATCAGTACCATGTCAGGCGCTACGATGATAGTCTACTTACTCATCGGAGCCGCATCTAGAAAGGAATTATCAGCACAACTCTAGAAACTCTTAGTTCAATCTAGTTGACTCACTTTCCATTCCGTCCGCAACAATCACCAAACTCAGACCCTATGCAGGTAACGTTTGTTCCATGGCCGCATGATCCATCTTTGGAAACTGAGTAGCTAGACACTGACATATGCGTGAGCAGAATATCTCATAGAATGCGGGACAGACTTACTGAAGCGCATGCAGTAGGTCTGACCAGGTTGAAAATTGGAACAATCTCGATTAACATCAGGGTTCATAATATAGAAATCCGGTAGAGTAACATTGTAGTTATCAATTAAGCCTCCACATGTCGACCATATGTTGGTCTTGACCGAGAACTTGCACTTTGGAGACAATTCACGGCGATAAATGAAAGTATCTGATGGGCGAGAGAACGAAAGCCCCTCAACTGTTGAAGCGAGCAATAAGGCCACCGAGAAGGCAGAGGCTGATTTAGATAAGATCCACCACATCTTCGAGAGTCGATTCGATAGCACTCTTCTACTCCAATGCAATTTGCACAGTCAAAGTAAAAGAGAAGGCACTGGTGAGTTTTCAAAAATTGTAAGAAAAAAGCCAGAGTAGGATGCCTCGGGTAGGTTCTTCCTCCTCGCCAAAGCCCTTCACCGTGGCCAACGTGCACTTAGGCGAATCGTGAGACGAGCTGCACCTTATGCTAGCCGAACTTTGTTTCCGTGGATGACCATTTACGCACAGGCACAAGATAGCTTGCATACCTCTGAAACTATAGCGTCAAGTTACTGATATATTGGTCTTGGCCTTGACACGGCTGATTTCCGCACGCGGGCGAGCCCCCCAATGACTTCCCTGCAGGTGGAGGCAATCGTATCTCGTGGGGCAGTCCGTTCCGGTGATTTGGGTAGGGTCTCGAAGAGTAGTCCTGCAATGTAGCAGTAGGTGGTCAATTGCCAAGGAAACCATCAAACAATCACATTTGCTCGACCAATGATTAGTTTAGCCAAGACAAGGCTCTCAGGAGCAGCCGCTTCAGGGATCTTAGTGCGGTAATTTTGGTATTTTCGATGGATTCTGAAACTGTGCACTATACTCCTTGGACCCTCCCGTTACCAGCACACCCGCAATGGGGCGTTTTCAGCCCCCTTCCCATGCCCCACCCTCGGCAAGTCTTGGCTTCTTGGCAATGCAAGGTCCGAGGTAACCTCGATATCTTTTTTTTGGGGGCTGAGACTTTCCTCGCAGGTCCGTAGTCCACCCAACCTGTCTCACGCGTAGTATGCTTCGTATTCGGTACCGTCGTCCAGGTCAAACAATGTTGGAACCACTTCAGGCCACCCGTCCAAAAGAAGATGTCCCATCTCTAGATGATGCACAAAGAGATGATGTGGGGCGTCAAGATCCTCTGGCTCAAATGCATCCTCTGAGAATCGGAGTCCAAGATACTTCCGTATGATGTACTGGAATATCTGCAGGGGAGGGGGTGGTGTGGGGTATTTCTTTTTGTAATGATTTGGCTGACCAGAGAACGCACGCATGATCTCGAGAATGCGACTCATGAAAGGAGAGCATGAGCGCCACACGGAATCCTTGGTTTCGGATATAGCCTTTTTCAAAAGAAGAGTCTTGTGTGCATTCTTCGGATTGTCTGGTAAGGCGATGGTTTCGGGATAGAATGACCCTAGACAGACAACTGTGATTTTTTTCGAGGGCTCTTCGACAGTCACGGCCTGTTCTTCGAATATTTGTGATTGTCCGGTGTGGTCCAATAAGGTTAAACTTGAAAGAAGGCATTGGATCATCTCCACATGGAGGGTTTCGGCATGACACCTGTCTAGTTGAGGGACGGCATCCTCTGGGTACGCATTCAGTAACTCTGGGTTGTCAAGGGTTGATGGGCGGTGCTCTGTTTGCTTTTTGAAGAACTCCGCTAGGTCCTTGTAGATGGACTCATGGCGAGCGTAATCCTCGAAGTTGAATACCGAGTATTTCAGTAAATGCGCCATCTCTTCGCTCTTCAGCAATGGTTCATCATCTGGTTGTTTAACTCGTTTGTCTCTGTCTTGGAAAAGGTGGTCGGGAGACTCCGAAAGAGGCTCCTGGTAGAACCGACATAGGGCCCCGCCCATGAGAAAGAAATGATACATGGAGCGACGGAAATTCTCTTTCCAAATGAGCCAGTCTGGAGAAAGCTGTTCGGAGTCGGGTATGCCTAGCTCGGCATACATCTGTTGAGCCCACTCCACATTGTTCAAGTAGATATCTTCGATGCATCTCATAAGATATTCCCAATCAAAGACCTGTCGGATATCTTCCGAGGAAATTGCGGGGGTACTCAGTGAATCGAGTGGGAAAGGCTGTGGTGGGAATTGTCCTTTGTCGAAATACTCTACCACGATTCTTGTTGCGCGGGTCTATTATCAGAATGTTAAACAATTGACTGAATAGCCTGATGGGATGTTCCCTACTGTTATCAAGGCCTCATTGAAGGCAAAAACCTCGCGTGGTCCCACATGACGAATTACACCAGACGAACTCGAGGAGTAGACGGAGTGTAGGTGCTTGCACGTGGAAGACAGAGCGATCGCTTGAGATAATTTATCGCAGCTTTGCAAAATGCGAATGATGCAATCGATCGGAAGTGAGACTAGAGAAGCCATGAGGTATTTCACGAGGGGGAGATGATAAAGGAGAAATCCCGTAGACAATTGGAAATGTAGCGGAGAGGGAGTCTTGGCGACCCCAAAGCCCTACTGAACATTGTTTCGTCTTTTTCCGATAGTTAACACCACGAAACAAGGACAACAAAAACAAAAGACAAGGAAGTCTTTGAACCACCGTTCTTTTTCGAAGATGTTCCTAGCACCGGGTGGAATAAGGGATCAACAGTGGCGTAAGTCATCCAAAAGTGCTAACGTATTTCCCAAGCGAGCCGCCCACCCCAAAACACCATAGTAAATGCGACATATTCTACACCTTTATCTCAACAACTACGTCTTAATTATATTTCATTACTTACCAATGGCTATTAACAAGACTTATTAGCACTATGAATCTAAAAGCCATATTATCATCATTTTAGAAATTACTGAAAATTACACCGCCATGAGCTACAAATATATATATCTCGATCACGAAGACATAGAAATTCTCCAAGCTCCCTAAAGAGGCTAGACATCACCTAAAAAAACGTTCTGCTAAAATGAAAAATACCTATAGGCCAAGGTTGTTGAGATATAAAACTGTAATTTATCGCAATTACTATGGTATTTTGGGGTGGGCGGCTCGCTGGGGTGAGCGGCTCGCATGGGAAATACGTAATATCATTAAATATCTTCCCTCCAATTCATGCTTCAGACGTTCTCTCGCCACATTTCACCCCAAATTTGCATAGGAAAGCTAAGCCAAACCAAGTAGTCTTTACGTTAGTATTCGTCCATTCTGACTACGCTTTCTACTGCGAAAGGATCAGTCGAATTATAGAGTTTTATTCCAAAATCCAGTCCAGTTTTCTCTTGATAAGTCGCTCACCCAGTTCATGGTTTCATCTTGTCTAGATAAGAAGAAGAAGCAACAAGAAGAAGCAAAAACAAAAATATACAACAGTGAGGATTCGATGGTGGTCACCCACCCAACTACTAACTCACCGGCATGTGGCTTAAACGCGGCCACTAGTCAGGTGGGTGTCGCCCGGGTGAGGAGCGGGTGAGCGCCGCTTTACGTCGCGCGACCAGGGGTGACCAGGGTGAGTGCGCCATAGATGGGGTGAGAATCCGGGTGAGAATGCGTCATTCGAGGCCGAGAATGGCTGCCAGTTGGTAAGCCTAAGTTGTTGTAGAGTAGAATTACGGGATTCGCCGTATAGGCTATAGATTTCGATACCTCCCTTCTTCTAATCTCGGTAAGTAGGCAGCTAATAGATATAAATAGTAACTCTTTACTAACCATATTCTTCCTAGCACAATATACCTAAGACCACGATATTAGCGAAGCGAGATAATAACCAGGGCACTAGTGACAATATAAGTGCCTAAGCAGCATATATTAGTAATAGGAAGTCTTCTACTTAGCATAAGAGTAAAGGTGAAGTCGGACTAAGAAGCCTAAAGGTCTACGAGTATTATAGAAAGCCCGATAGCAATTGCTCTACTAAAACACTCGACCTCGTTAATACGGCTCCTAAAGATCTGTCAGGACCACCACCTGACTGAGGACGTCGACGGCGCCTAAGGCATGGATAGATGCCTTCGGATGCCTTAGGACGTACGGTGAAAGGATGATCTAGGACCTCACCGCCCACGAATAGGCCAGTTCGTGTATATAAGTATTTCCCGCTGGTCCGAGGAAGGACCAGCGTTCAGTCTCTTCATACCATCCACCTTATTATATTACACGCAAAACTAGGCCATCTGCCTCGCTTACCTACCTAAACCTCGAGACTGCGTGGTCTCACAGGGACGTCAAGCATATAGGAAGGCTTGTCAAATACGAGAACATTCAGTATACCTAAGCGAAGAGATAGATATCACCTGACCCTATAGTTCAATGCATAAGAAGTAAGCAGGAGAGAAGTTAGATCATAGACACGTTGATAAAAAAACGGCTAATATACCGTGAGATTATTCCCTTTGCCTCAAGCGCTGGTAGGCAATATTGTCTTTGCCTAGATGCGCGGCAAGCATCAGAGGTGTTCGCTCTTGGTTGTCCAGAACCTCGCGACTTGCACCCGCCTGCAGAAGAAGATCGATCATGCTGGCGCGTGGCACATCTTCCATAGTGGCTAATACCACGTGGTGGAGGGCCGTTTGTCTGCCCTTATCTTGTATATCCACCTTAGCTCCCATCGATACAAGCAGCTTGACGATGCTCTCATGGCCCTCCATCACGGCATAGTGCAAAGGCGTCCATCCATTTTCATCCTCTGGATCCATGCTCGCGTGTCTTCCCAGAAGAAACCGTACAGCCTCTAGAAGGCCCCGTCCCGAAGCACGATGGAGCACTGTCATGCCTTTTTCATTGACAGCATCTATATTGGCCCCGCTTTCACAGAGCAGCCATGCCATGGAGAGGTCGTTGTGCTCTATCGCCCAATCGAGAACGTTGAGTCCATGCTTATCGCGAGGAATCAGGCTAGCATTCTTTGTAACCAAGAGCCATTTTATTGATCTGTCCTCAAGTTCAATTGCATGGTGAAGGGCGGTCTTCCCGTTCCCATCCTGATGATCAAGTTCCGCCCTTCTCTCCAGCAACATCCAGACAATGTACCGATTCTGTCCCTTCACTGCCTCTAACAGTGAGTTTGATCCGTTGTCGAACTTTGCATTCACGTTCACGGGATGAGATTTTCTGCTTAGTAGGCGCTGAACCATGTGTACATTTTTCCATTCGACTGCGTGCCTCAGTGGCGTCCATCCGTCAACAACGGAGGGACGGTTCAGATCAGCCCCCTTCCTCAACAATAAATCCACAATGTCGCTTGGGCTGTAAAACATGGCTTGCCTCAGTGGAGACCAGCCCTCGCAGAACTCTGCATTCACATCCACCAGGCTGTTGATCAATATCTTTGTAATCGATAGAGGTCCGTAGCGTATTGCCCATGATAATGGAGTGAAGCCTTTGCCGCCACGAATGTCAAGGCGTGCTTTGCCTGTCACCAGCTTGTCAACGATGCTATCACTGTTCTCCATAGACCATATGACGGCGACATGGAGTGGGGTATCGCCATTCTCATCCTGAATATTGGGATCTACCGTCTCTTGTTGCAACAGCAAGTCCACAAGAGCGGGTCTGTTGTACTGGACAGCCCAGTGTAGGGCTGTCTGCTTATTGGAACACGACGCGTTAATATCAACTCCCTCGTCAATGAGACGCTTGGCCAATCCCGGAAGGTTAAAGTATGTGGCGGCATGCAGACCCGTTATACCATCGAACGCTGAGCCATCCGTACCGGCCATGGCTTGGAATGCCTGCTTATCCTTGACACTATTCCTGAGAAATTCCAACGCCAATTCAGCTGTCTGTACGTCATCTTGCCCACCGAGGAGAAAATGAGTCGCCCAGTGCTTGGCTGCATATTTAAACAAAGAGCGCTTTGTATATTTGCCAGGTTTATCAAACAGAAGGTATTTCAGGCACGTCTTCGCCATGTCCAAGTCAGCTTGTCGTGGTATGATGTCTTGTTCCAACAAGTACTTCCCAGCTGACTCGTGCACCAGGCAAAGTACTTGCGTCTCTATGTCCATAACGACCAAACCGGCACATACTGACGTCCAATCAACTTCTGCCAGTATGTAGTCATTATTTAGACGCCCTTTGCTGTATTGAACAGCAAAGCTCTCTTTGATCAAGTCGGGGGCGAAGGGCTCTTTCGCGTGCATGATCCAAGTCAGAACATGCTTGGCCAGACCGCGTTCAAACGGTTTGTCTTTCTCCTTCCTCGCAATTTGCCGGATGGAGGCTGCAAATGCGCCAGATTCATTGCCGGGTAGTTCTTTCAGAGCAGATTTAATACCACCAACAGTTCCTTGCTCACACAGGACGTCCATATGCAGTTTAGTCAAAAGAAACCTGAATTGGGTTAAAAGAATTCTTCTTTGTCTGATGGAATCAAAGAGGTTGAACTGACATGCCCTTGGATGCTGCTATGATTTCGCGGATAATGACTCGTTCGAGCATAGGATCAAGACCCTCTATCCTCCGTCGCATGAAGTCATTCTGAATCCGCCACTTAACGTAATTCGTGATGTCGTCTTTATTTGGGACAACGTGCAGTTTTTGAGGCCTTGAGAGCTCAAGACCAATGACTGTCCTTGTAGTGAACAGAGTCCTAACATTGGATGGCAATTCTTTGACTAGTTTATGCATCTCGTTCCTGGTTTGTTCGTTCTGGCAATTATCGAAGGCATCAATAACAAGGTATACTGTACCAAGGTCCGCAATTTCAGCCTTGAATAGGTCGAGGTAGTCGGATGAGCCGGGAAAGATCTTTGTACGGCACCAGTAGTCGTACTTATCCTTCAGCTCGCCTTTAATGGCCTCGGTCTGTTGTTGTTGCAGAAGCTGTTTCAGCAGATTGATGAGAATGTCTGAGACCGTTGGCTGGTGGTCTTCACTATTTTGAAAGTAGAGGTAGATGCAGCTGTCCCGACCAGTTCCACGAATATCTTTTTCAATCGAGTTCACGATAAATGCGCTAAGTGCAAATTATCAGTGCTAAAGTACAGCTTCGTTCAACTGTGAGGATGCTTACGCCAGCATCGTTTTGCCGGATCCAACTATTGAATGACCAAAATTAGCTGGTAATGTGTAGTGGATAAAACCTACAGCGGCGCGTACAGATTCCGTGCATCAACAAACATCGGGATGGATTTGTAGGGGTTTTCCAGGCCTGAAATTCTTGGCGTGTAAGAACCCATTCCCCGGTTCCTGGTGCAAGTTGGCCAAGAAGTACCCTGTGGTATTCGAGAAAGTCCAATCGAGACTGGAGAAGGAGCCAGTCAATGATGAGACCACCTTAAGGCATATTTTAGTTTATTTCGTTTCTCACTGTCTTTGCGGGTAGACAGACGATATGACTTGCTTAGTCCCCCTTCTCTCCCCCTGAACAGTTGAGCTATCTCCGATGGAGAACGTAGGGTATCTGAAGGGTGCAGTTAGCACACAGGGCCACTTCAGGTCATGTAAGGGTGCTGAAGACTGCAACCCACAGTTGTAGATGTTCTGCGCATAAATGTTTTGCTGCATACTGTTGCAACCTGTCATGACATTGTGATTTCCATCCCCTTGATGCAGTGCTTGATTACCAGGTCCTGTGTTCTTCGCATTGGCACTCCGGCGTTCTATTGAGCTCCATTGTGTCACTATTAATAAGTTGCATGAAACTGTTAGAACCGGGGAACTTTATTTCGGCTGTCGAAGATGATGAAGCAAAACTATTACTAACATGAATCTTGGAAGACAGTGGATTTGGCCTTACTATCCTTGCTGTCAGTCTACCACTTAAACACAATTGCCGGAGCTTGCTGAAGAAGTACACATAGCGCCTCAATCCATGGCTACAAGCTCAAAGTTCGAGGCTGCAAGTCTTGGATGGATTACTTTGCTGCATACTTACTTGTCGTAGTGGTTGGTCTGAGTGAAGGTTTCCCCCTTGTTGACAGTTCCACCTGTCACATTGAAGGCATCGCCATCCCCAGCCGCCCAATTCTGAACGTTATTATCGCCGATCTGCTGAGCGCCTGTGCTTCCGAACATCGATTCCATCTCGCTATCTGCAATGGACGGAACTACCTGAGCTAGCCTGTCCAGAGCCTTCTGCACAATATCGACCTGATCTGCAAGCTGGAACACCTTGTTCTGAGAGAGATTCTTGATGGAAGACAAGATGTCTTCCATCAAGTCTTCCACTCGGCCGCGTTTGCCGATTGTGAGCACCACTCGCTTGTATACCTTCTTTATCGAGTGACCCTGAGCCTCTTTGAGAGCCTCGAATATATTCAGGAGCTCCCGGAACTTCTTCTCGCATTGTTGCAGCGTCATCTCAACAGAAGTTTTCGTCGGGGTATCGAGCTGGGGGACTCCCTCCTTGGCACGCGTGAGTGAGTCATACACAAGAGGCAGTTGCTCGTTGACTTCGTCGAATGCTTTGGGAAGTCCATCGAATGTCTTGATTGTGTCATAAATCTGCTTGATCAACTTGATGATCTCAATCGAGCCGTTGATGAGCGAGATGATTTCTAGTCCAGTGGACATTGTAACAGTAATGAAGGAAGTCAACGAGTTCTCAAAATTAGAATCTTGAAGAAATCGGGATATCAGAGATCGGCACTGGGGGTGTCGTAAAGTGCTCGAAAGATTGAGGATCTACCAACTGTACTTTAGTGAGCAAGATTGCTTAGACAAGCCCCTGTGAGGGAATTACACACAATAGTCGAGACCAGGGGCTGATCAGTGCACAAGATATTGTTGCTGAAGACGACCTGAGCAGATTGAACGGGCAGGAAGGTGCATCAACTTCGTTTAATACCAGCGCCGCCGCGGAGTGCGCACAAAAAAGCGCCCGCTCAATCCACATGCCCTGCAGGTGAAGGAGACACATATTACTGGTAAAGTCTAGGCTCTTAGGCTATCATCGCGAGTCGAAAGGCACGGCCAACAAGGGAATGGGTAAAATTAATAACGCGGTGCAGGTTGACAACGCAGCATCTCTGGCGAATTAGATCTTGCTAAAAGAGAATGAGGGTTCGCGCTCTGCCAGACTTCCCGCGGGCGCTGAGTTGTTGGCTTTACTGGCTTGCATATTAAGTACGAACTATATGCGTGGAGGAATGTGAGCCAACCGTTAGCCGCTCAGTCGGAGTGACGTGAAGGTCCAGAGTTGGAAATCTTCTCATTCAGCTAGAGGCTGACTGTCAGCAAAAAGGAGGTTTACTCACAGTCTCCACTCGTTATCTTTTCCCCCACCCTCATTTCCTATGTTTTTATGGGAAATAATGGCCCAGTTAGGTTTCGATAAGTGTTGACCCCCCCACCCCACGCCCCTTAGTTACATGGTATCATGCTGATTCAAACCTCTCAGTACTTTGCCCTAAGTACTTAAGCTCATTTTGTGTATATCATGCTTCTGACTCAACAACCATTCTATATTTATAAGACACTGTCTACAATCTTCGTGCTGCAATATTAGGATGATTTTTTACTGCAGACGCGCAAGTCATAACTAATTGGACTAGTACAATTTTTGGGACATCTCTGTTCATAGGCGATGAGTTGAGTCACTAGTCAGGATATGGCTCGTCAACTTCAACCCGGGTTGATGCCATCGTGGGGCTGATACCGTCAATCCATACAAGCCCCGGGAGCACTTGCATACACAAATCCCGCACTGCTCTTTGGCCACCCATTACGAGTCAGCTGGCCAGCCCGGTGATATAACTGCAGAAATGGCGCGAGGAGGGAGTTTTGGTCGTTCGGCTACCCTCTCCCCTTCCTTCCAAAGCCTTGGCCTGCATGGCTGCTCCGCTCTGTCAGGCTTTCTCCAAACTCTTCTCCATTTCACGAACCAAGCCACTCACCACAGGAGCCTCGCCGGGTTTACGGCTCGAGTTCAATCCATACTTCTCATTCACTCCTTGCCTATACTATATAGTGACACATCCCCTGAGGCCAGTACCATACCTGGTGATGTTACGCAGCCTTTTCCCAGCCAATCACGTATTAAAGTCAGCGGACAGCAAGACAGGACATTGGTTTCAACATTAAATTTGATTGACATTCAATGGAATCAAATTCCAAGTGAGACAGCGGCAACACTTGGTAGATAATCTCGTTTTGGACCTTCCAATGCTTGCTATGCCTTTATTACGAGGCCTGATCTGTTATATCAAGAAGAAACACCCTATCATCTGCCGGGACACTGCGACTGTCGACAGCTTGTTACTTCAAATATGGCGTCTCCATATGAGGCCAATCCGTATGTCGGCCACTACCCACAGGCTCCGACCCCTTGGTTTCCTCATCCACCCGACATGGACCATGCAACAGCAGGCTATGCTGGTGAAGGATATTATGGAGGCTTACAGCACGGCTTGGTTCCCCAGAGCGGGAGATACCCGGTGACGCATAGGCATGAAATGGCGTCAGCATCCGCACCCTCTATCCCGTACATGGGACCTCAGCCTCCCAGCGTGCGACCTGCAATACATCGGAGCAGGTCAAGTGTACATCGGCAAAATTTCAGAAGGCCGTTCATGCCCACCATTGATTCTGGTGACACCGATGAGGACCTGCACGACGACGAAGACAACAGCATTACTTTTACGGGGGAATCGTCCCATAGCAGTGCGGTCCAGCGGACCCGGCGGGATCGCACAGGCTCAGCACGGATTCAAAAACACTCCAAAAGAGATCAGAAGCGTAGGAGGAGGTCGCCAGAAAGCCGCAACCAGAGCCTGGCACCACAAGTACCCCTACCGAGTAAAGAGATGCTCGGAATGAATGAAAGGTTGGCCAAATGTGAGACAGCAGCAAAGGAGGCAGATGCAAGGCAAAGGGACTTTGAAGAAAGGGTACAAGAAACCGAAAGTTACCTTAAAAAGAAAATTGAGGATACGATGCGTGCCCAGGAAGAGGCCAACAAGACGATCCAAATAGCCAGAGAGGCTGAGCAGGCCGCGAGAATAGAAGCGGAGCAAAATTCGGGAAAAGAAAGGAGGAAGGCAATGGAAGAACGAGCCGCGCGGGAAAGGGAGATGAGGATGAGATTTGATGCAGAAGAAACAGCAAGGCGGGAGGCAAGGGAGTCCGAGGCAAGAGGTGAAATAGAGATGATGAAGCGCGCCTGGGAACAGCTGCTGCATGACATAAAAAAGGATATGAACAGAGTCAAGGAGCAACAACTCGCAGGGAACGTTGTGCGAGACGAGATCGGAGCCGATCTTCAAGTCGAAGCCACCAAACCCCCCAAAATAGCCGAGGAGGCATCTGTGAGCCCCAATCCCAGCTACTCGCCCGAATTTCCTTATTTTCAATCTCCGGATCTGTCCAGGTCTCTTCCCACCACAGAGAGGACTCGCCCGCTCGAGCCTCGCAGGCGACGGGCACAGGAACTACCACCCGAGGCCCCCGACCCACCAACTGAGGAAGTAGATGAAGAAGTAGAGCTCGATGTCGACCAGGGGACAGGCGCTGAAAGCAGCATTGAATCCTCTATAGGGTTGGCTAGTTCATACTACTCCACCTTTCGCTCCGAGAGCAGATCCAGTTGGCGCGGGGGGAGGGATTGGAGGGCAGAAAGAGAAGCACGAAGGAGTCTCCGCATCTTCAGAGAGGAAATTATTGATCCGATTTGCGATACACTCTTGAGCCTCCTGGACGCATACACGCCGGGAGGTAGACCAATGGATGTGCCTTCTTTCAACCCACAGCCTCCGCATTCCTCGATTCGGGCTCACAAGGTTGAACCGGTTCCGTCGGGGTCAGATCCACAGTCATACTTGTCAGGTTTTGGGACGGAGAATGCCGAGACTGTCACACCCGGAGGCAATCGGCAGTTCAGTCGAGGGCGACAGGCCCTTAGACGACCTCGTTCTCAGACAAGCAATCGTGCAAACGAGACCCGTCTGCAGAGGGGGGAATCACCGCGAGCCTATTCTTTGGAAAAATTCGATTCTCTAACTGAGAGCGGCCCTCCAGGGTTGGTCAAACAGGACCCCACGGGCATAAAAGAAGTTGCCCACGAACTCGAAACCCCCGACCCAGCCGATTTACCAATAGCAAGCAACATCAAGAGAGTTCCCAGGACGGAAGTAGCAAAAAGGTTTCGACTGATATCATCTCCGACGCTGCCTGATGCAGTCTATGGAGAAGAGGCAATACCCCCTGCATATCCATCTCCTGAAGTTGCGTTTGGATTGAGTGACGAAGAGAACTCGGACCCCACATTCAAGACGCCCCCAATGAGCTTTCAGAAGAGAGCAGACATGGAGCAGCGTACATCTAGCGAGAGTGACATAAAGATATCCTCGAAGGCCAACCCACCCACACTGTCATTGGGCGTCATCGCCAGTGGTGGGTCCGAGTGCCCTTGCCGTAACAGTACCAGTTCAAAATCGTCAAAACCGACAAATCAATGGCCTCGGTGCGAACTGACGGACTCTTCTTTACCAAGAATCGGGTTGCAAGTAGAAATCCAGAGATATCTACCGCGTGAAATATCCGTTTTGTCTCGAGGGCATCAGGTATTGTACCTATTGTTGACGGCTGCGATATTGGTCTCCATGCTTCGGCTGGTGTCTCGTCTCCTTTGTTCAGCTTCTTTAAGAGGAACATATTGAAAAGAGATTGGAATAAGTAGATCAACAATACAGTAGAGAGATTCACAGTTGATCACAGGTCGGCTTGCGTAGATCACCAGTAGTAATGATCTTGCTTCGACCAATAGCAAATGCTAGGTTTGTGGAGCACACACCATACAGAGTAGTAAGGTCTGATCAAGGGCCTTTGTAAGCCTACTTACTATATAATTCGAATTACTGTTCGATTCAGTACATACGACCATAGGGTGTGGAGAACAGGGCTTCCCGTCCGCTCAGCCGTACTTAAGCCACACCTCCGATACTAATTTTTTCTAGCAGGTGTGTTATTTTGATCACAATTCTTTGGTACTAGCTTCTACCGGTTGACACTTGTCCTCCTAGGATTCAAACGACAGTAGTAAAGAAAGGGAGGAGAAAAAGAGGGGTCGCCTTCGGTCATCAAAATAACCCCCATCCCTGTGACATGAAATGCCCTGTGTGATGAAACGCCCAACAGGTACCTGCACATTCGAGCACCGTCACCCTCAATCCACAAATTGAATATTGCCTGAGGGCGGCAGAAACAATAATTATTTAATTTCTTATGAGATAACTATTTTCAAACAAAAATTACGAAGTGTTAGAGTGGCGGATTACAGGACGACACGCACTACTAGGAAATCCCCTGTTACTACCGTGACGCCAAGATCACCCACAAAAAAGTCTGAGATGGATAGGAAAGACAATATTGTATCATTTCGCCTCCTAGTTGCCTATTTTGATTTTTGATATCATCACAATTATGTGACCTAAGAACATAACAATTTTGGTGCAATTCATGGCAGCAGAAAGCTACATAAAACAAAACTACCGAGAGGGCGAATACACGGGAAGGGAACAGTCATGTAACTGTACCGCCGCTAAACGGGACAGCCGCCCCATAACCCTGTCCGCAAGTAGAAGATGGCCTGCTTTAAGGAAACATAACTCTAGTAGAAGTACCTCGGGACCGTATCAAACTACAGTATGAGCATACACAGTGCTGTAAGAAAAATCACCAAGTGTAGATATTATATCTCCATGTATGCTACCTTTACACTAAATGCTATGGATATAGGTGTGGGATTATGAACCCACTTCAGGTTCCCCGTGTTGATCCAGTAAGTCTAAAGAATACCGGTCACTGCTTCGGGATGTGATGTTTAAGTCCAATCACCTCTGTATATCCTTCTAGTACCTGTTGATACATCGTTTTCGCCTTTCATACTTCCCTTGGCTGCTAAGCACATTGCCAAGGTTACTGACACTGGTAAGCGTGTCAGGATGCTCGCATCCAAGCACCTTCTCTCGTGCTTCCAACACCCGTCGATGCATCGCAAGACTTGAACCGGACATTCGTTCACAGGTCGAAGGAGGAGCTATATGGACAAGGTTTCCTAATATTTCAAATGTTCTTGAATGCCATTTTATTAATTGCTTTGCGCGATATGAGAAGTTTTTCTTAGCAAGGAAGATCTAAGCCGTAATAACTGTACATATACCATGCTCATAGTAAGCATTGTAGTAGATAAGTCGGTCGAATTTATCATGAACCCAGAGCCTCGAATGAGATATGATCATTTCTAGTAAGCTATTTGGCATACGAGGAAATTCGTATCACGGTCGTATGGCTTTACTCGTCACAAATTTATCTTTCCACTGGATTGATAGCCTTAGGAACATAAGGTTCTTCAAGGTACTGAATCTCTTCCGGCGTCAGCTTGACCTGGACACTTGCAACAGCCTCATCGATACGATCCTTAGTGTTCAGCCCGACGATAGGGTACTCGCTGGGGTGACTCAGTGACCATGCGATTGCAACTTGTGCCATGCTGATCCCCTTCTTGCCAGCCAATTCTTCCACACGGTCAATAATAGCTTTGTCGGACTCGGACTCGCGAGCACGAACGACAATACTTAGCCCAACATCGGTGTTTTCGCGCAAGGTAGAGCGAGAAGTCCAAGGTCTAGTGAGGGCTCCACGTGCGACTGGAGACCAAGGGATAAGAGATACGCCGCTGTCAAGGCAGTAAGGGATCATTTCACGTTCCTCTTCACGGGCAATAAGATTGTGGTAGTTCTGCATGGAGATAAACTTGTGCCAGCCATTGCGAATGGCAATGTTTTGTAGGGTCTGGAATTCCCAAGCGGCCATCTACAAGAAAGAAAGGTATTAGTGCTTGCTTGTTCAGATTGTTGAGGGTGAAGCATACCGAACTAGCGCCGATGTATCGAACCTTGCCGCTCTCAACTACGTCATTCAGCGCCCTCATGATCTCCTCGCGTGGTACCTCACGATCAAGTCGGTGAATTTGAAGCACGTCAATATAGGTTCCCAGTCGCTCTACACTGGCATCAACGGCCTCCAAGATGTGTCTACGAGAAAGACCGACGCGGTTCAAGAAGTCACCCGCGTTCTGTCTCCCGGTCGAGAGAGGGGGGGGGAAGTTCCCCTGATCGTCCACACCAAAAAAACATTTGGTCAAAATTACCACTCGGGAACGGGGGATTTTGTATTTCTTCAGAGCCTTTCCCACGATTTCTTCGGATTTGCCGTAGGAGTACATATCGGCCTAGTAAAAATCTGTTAGAACACGCGTGTTTACTCCCGCATTTCTCTTCTTACAGTATCCCAGGTCCTGATGCCTTTCTTGTAGGCGTGTTCAATAAGTGGAAGAGATTCTTCTTCATTTAGCACCCAGCCCTGCCATTCTGGGGCGCCGTATCCCATGGTACCCAGTATCACCTTTGAGACCTTGAGGCCCGAATCCCCCAGCCTGTCTCATATTGTCATCGCAGGTCAGCAATCTTTAACAATCTTTGAAAGGCACTTGGGTCAATGCTATCAAGGTGGATGCGGAGAACCTTACCGTGCGTATTCCATTTGTCCGGAGATTGTAGTACTGATCAGCGAGAATTGTGGTAGACTTAGGAAGCTTCAAGGGTCATGAAACACGTAGACGAAAGAAAACTGCAGGTTGAAGGTGAGGGCGAGAAACCTCTTTATTCCCACAATAATTCCACCTGGAGTTACCGATGGCAAGCCTGACACGCCTAGGACGGAGTTAACTGACGTAAGTCCGGACGACCAGTCATACTGAATTATCTCTCGAACAATCTGCACAGGTATGGCGAATGAGGAGTCTTGATCTACCAGTTAAGCTCATTGTTAGTCCATTTCGTCATAGCAACACTGCCGATTACATGTTCCGCAACGGAGTTAATCGAAGGCAGCTCCAAATTATAGCGGAGTTAAAGGCTAACGAATCCGCGATCTGTCTCATACTTGGGCCGAGGTCTGGCTCTACTTGAAGATCCGAGTCGATTCCTTCAAGTTGAGTCTATAAATTGATTAGTTTCGTAAATTCATTCAAAGAAGCATTCGCCCGACCGATGTCATCTGGATGTATCGAGCCTAAAATAGCATTTGAACCGGGGATCATCGTTTGGAATCTATTGTTTTCGGATACTAGAAAAAGATTCCGGTCCAGAATTGCCAACCCATGCGGGATGAGCATAGTTGATGGCGCATACAGTAATTAATGATGAAAACCAAAAAAATGAACGACTCTTAATACCAACAGCCCTTAAACTACTCTACAGCACGGGCAAAGAAGCTACAGCATTTAGATTTACACAGATAGCGAGTTTCTTGATTGTTGAACACCTAGAAAGAATTTGAACACTATCAGACGCGAGGTAGAACGAAAAGACTGTCGTAAGAATCCTGGACGTTTAGCAGCTTCAGCTATTTAAGATGTAGTCAGTAATTTGGTAACTTACATCACGGATCATATCACCTCAATGCAGAGAGCTTCCGCATCTTGTTTATCCTGCGAAGCACACTCACTCCTGGAGCAGACTGCTTGTCCTCAAAGGCGAGAGCATCCTCAGTGGGGTCTATGCCATCTGGAACGATTATTAGGAAAGACTTCATGCGGGTCTAAGAGAGGAAACATGCTGTTCGCGACTTCAAGGTTGGGATTGCGGTGAAAAAGCCGGTTTACAAGTCCACCAACTCTAAGTATACGATAAACCTAAACAGGGCCTCTTAAGACATGAACAATGATAGATGCCGGTGGCATCACAGTGGAATCCTCGTGCATTAAATTTCACTTTGACAAGGGCGGTCTCCTCGTGCTTCGAGCTGCCGTATTAAAGATCTCAACATGTAAACTATCACAATCAATCCTGTGGGTGATTTCTTAGAAGTCGAAGACTGGCGGTTCTCAGTGGGCTTCGAAATATCTGCGCTGATCTTGCAGCTGCTATGATCATCTACCTGAGGGCAGAGTCTGGGTGTATTCACTATCGGAAGATTCCATCTCGGTTTTATTCTCAAGCAATAGCTCCACCACTACATTGTCTCCATCCCGAGCCGCCCATGAGAGCGGAGTTCGGCCATCTTCATCCTGAGAATCGACGACGGCATTCCTCTCAAGCAACTTTGACGTGGTCCTCTCAAGTCCAAAGTATGCTGCAAGGTGCAAACCTGTCATCTTAGTTGCCTGTTGAAATGTGTACTCACTTCCTTTGCATACCATAGCCTGGCTACAGGCAGATACATTGGGAACGTTCTGAATAAGAACCAGGATCAATATATTTCCTTCAATCAAGGAGTATCTGGCACGGTATCCCCAATTCTCTGCAGCATAGCCATAAAGAACAGTGGTCCGTAATCTTGCGCGCAAGCTATCACCCGTTGGGCAATATCCGGCTTCAAACACCTCAAATTACAAGCAGGTGACGCAAGATTTGGCAATGTCGGTGCGGGCATTGCAGAACCAGCCCTCCCGGGTCCGCGCAAAATACTCCTGTGTGGTGTAGTGCACCAGACGTATGATGCTACTGTCATTGTCGATAGTGATCAATCCCAAACAAACTGATACCATGCGAAGGCTCTCTTAAACTTCGCTGAAGCATCTCAACGGTTTCAAAACCGTGCGCCATAAGGGTAGCATTAACGTAATGGCGGCACAGAGGCCACGGCAGGCTCCTTGGCGAGGCTCTAAGTTCGCCTGAGCATTGGTACACGGCACAAGTACATAGAGAGGTATATAATATGTAGTTGTAGCCTGCATATCGTTAGCAAAGTTGAAACCTTGGATTAAGGTACAGCGTCATGGTATTGATCTATATAAAAAGATCCAGCTATTTGCAGTGGCAGCCGAACAGGTCGCCACGCCTAGAGGTCTATTGTTGGATCTCCTGTACTAATGGTATTGCCCTGCCACCCTGATACGCACTACTCATGCATTATAGTTAGACCTGTATCTATATTACTGGGTCGTGATGTACATGTACAACATTAAGGTGGTGGATCGAGGTGTGCACACGGTCACCAAGCTGGCGGAAGGTTTTTACGGAGATGATAAGACTTCCTTCATTTTCACTGCGGATCATGGAATGAACGACCTGGGCAGCCATGGTGACGGCTACCCGGACAACACACGGAGCCCCCTGGTTGCTTGGGGTTCTGGCGTGGCGCGGCCTGTGACCAGCAAGACTGGTATTGCGCCTGGACATGAGGATGGGCTTTCAACGGACTGGGTATTTGACCATGTCCAACGACATGACATCGAGCAAGCCGACGTTGCCGCTCTCATGGCGTACCTGGTTGGCGTCGAGTACCCCGTCAACTCTGTTGGTCAGTTGCCGCTGGATTATCTTGATGCGAATCCCAAGGAAAAGGCGCTCGCTGCCTTGGCCAACACCCAGGGTGTCTTGGAAATGTACCGTGTTAAGGAGGAGCAGAACAATTCATCGGTGCTCCGATATGTGCCCTTTCAGCCTCTATCTGGCGACGGAGAGACCTCCATTGAAGGACGTGTCGCCAACCTGAAGGCGCTCATCTCTAATGGAGCGTACGAGGATTCCATTACTTTGTCGCATGAGCTGCTTGCTGTCGGTCTCGCGAGCCTGCGCTATCTGCAAACATACGATTGGCTATTCCTGCGAACAATCGTCTCTTATGGTTATTTGGGCTGGATTGCCTACGCCTTGACGACGGTCATTGATCTTCACGTCTTACATGGGACGTCCGAGTCCCACCGGACTACAGCCAGCATCTCGTTTTTTTTCGTCTATATTTGTGGCGCTGTTCTCTGTTATTTTGTACTATGGATCTTCATGGCGCTACTACTTCTACGTGTTCTTCCCTGTTTTCTTCTGGAAGGAAGACTTTGCCCGTCGCAAGGCCCTGATCGCCTGCCGCAAGGTTGTTCTCGGCCATGTTCGCTCTTTCTCGGGGATGTGAGCTTTGGACTGCAGCTGGTGGCATTCCTTGGTGTACTCGAAGCACTGGTATGTTCACCTCTCTCACTCTCTTTTCTGCCATGGAGCGGTGCTAATGCCTTCTAGGTCCAATCGTATTTCCCTCGTGAGATCTTTACTGTCGGCTTCACTCTAACCGCTTTTTGGCCCTTCGCCTACGACTTCCAATTCCTTCGCACCCATGTGTATTTGTGCGGAATCTGGGCACTTGGATGTCTTCTGATAAGTATTTTTCTCTGTTGCCGGTCAACAAAGTAGAGGATATTTCTACCATCACCCACGGCGGAGTTCTCATTTTCTTGGCCGGTGTCCTATACCTGCTGTTCGAGGATAACATCCTTGGCTGGAAAAGCTCCAAATCACGGATCAGTAATGTTGGATCGCGGGTCATCATGGGATGCCAGGTCGGCATGGTTCTTCTTGCACTGATCGTTACTTGATCAAGCATAGCCTCCCTACAGACCCGTTAAGGTCTGCTGTTTGGCAACCAGGTGGTTGGGTTCGTGGTCATGGCAGCTTCTGTTACCTGCCATTCGTCCTCCAACTGTACCCGAACAGTCACTATCTACACCGACTGATGATCATCTTCTTGTCCTTCTCCCCGGCATTCATCATCCTCGCCATTTCCTGGGAGGGTCTCTTCTACGAGGTGTTCTGCATGACCCTTATGACATGGGTCCGCCTAGAACACGCAGTCTACATCAACACAGCAGGATCCAATATGGCTGTGTACCGTAACAAGACCCGACGATGCCTGGATCCCGAACGCAATCTAGAAGGTTCGAACTTCAGTGCACGGCTCGTGATACTGTAGTACAGTTCATGGTCCGCACTATTAGGAGCGCTGAGTGTCCATCTTCAGCTTCCCTGTTCTACCATTTACCTTGGCGCCCTGTTCCCGTGTGTATTTCTATTAACAAGCAAACTTGATAGCCTATCCCTGCTGCGTTCCCATTGTCCAGTTACCGTGCGCAGCTGCCATCCGCGCGAGAAATGTCATAGCGCGCCATCGCTGCGAGTGACTCCTAGGCAACTCCGTTGCCGTGGCCTGGCAGGGGTCACCCACAAGGCTGATTTCCCCCACAGACCACTCGACCCAGGTCCTGGCGCACGTGTCCACTCAATTATACGATATCACACGACGATATAAATGCGAGAGCGCAGCGTCGCCAACGCCCTCGCAGCATCGCTATTCAACAGAACTCCCAGATCCAGCTCATTCCATGGCCAGGCCAGTGCCTCTTGAGCGCCTCAGACGCCGTCGCAGGCTCGTCACCTGCCCAGCATGCCGACAGACGGCCAAGACGATCCACATCCGCGAGCCGTATCGCAACGTCGAGTGCGTTGTTCTACAGATCCCCGTCTGCAAACACCTTTTCTCCATGGAACTGGTACTAATGTATGGACCACAGCATTTTCTTGATGATATGGACCAGCATTCTTCTATTTCCTATATTTGAGAACTTTCGTGGGCCCGGAGGCGCATGGGTGACGCAGTACTGCTCGCGGTGCGGCCTCCGGCTCGTCGCGTTCCTCTCGCTGCCGCGAGGCCACTATATCCACGCCAAAGACGCCTCACTACAGGCTCTTCCAACTGGGGAGGTGGTCGAAGGAGCCAAGGTCCGGTCCTGTCCTTCCCCGCTAGGTCCGCCCGAACCCGTCGACGGAGCCACCATCTTGAACTACCCCCGCCGCTACCAACACCTCCAGAGCACAACAACCCTTCAGGTTGACATAGACCCAGGGAACAGCCTTCCCAGTGTCGTTTGGGACGCCACCAGGAAACAGAAGCTGCACCGCATCGAGCACCTCAACGGCTACGACCCAGCCGCCGCGTACCACGCCCGCTTCCTCTGGCCGGACAAACACACCGCGTCGGAGCTCCTCCCCCGGCGGCCATGGGCGTTCTCTGACGCCTGCATCTCCGTGGCCGATGCGCGCAGCGGCCGGTGCGTCGGCGCAAGCCAGCTCGCGCAGCAGTCGTGGGACACGGTCATATATCTACCACACAACCTTGCCGCGACGAAAGGTTCACCTCACGCAGAGAATTCAGCGTACCGGGTATACAATTGCTGGGTCGGACAGGACAGGGAAGTCTTCTCCCGGCAGTGCCCGCAGTTCTTCGTCCCGGACACGAGAGGCAGCACGCTCCTGTGGACGGTGCGTCGCATCGTCACTGCCGACGAGCGCGAGGGCCGAGCGAAGCCGACAGCGCGACTCGTCCTGCTGGACGGGTACGACCGCCTCGTGGCCGCGAATGATGGGGCGTGGACCAGTAAGCAGAGCTCCGGCAAGGAGAGGAAGTGCAACGTTCTACGCATCTATACTCCGTTGGACGATGGCCTCGTTGACGCAGTGGTGGTTAGCTACACAGTGCTTTGCGCACAGATGCTGCGGAGGATTCAATGGGATCAAATTTCCTCGGATGAGACGAGTCCATCGTAGCCGTTGGGCGGTGTCTTTGAGCGCGTGGTTCGTGTACGAGGCTCGCACGTATACTCTATAGGTGTCACATGTCTATCCTCTAGAGTCATAGTTCTTTGTCTTGCCGCCTCCGCTTCTGCACGCCCTGCTGATCAAAGTTTTCGTCCGCGAGCCACTCATCAAAGCAGTGCTTGACGGTGACTGATAAAAAATAAAATTATTATTGCTTCAGGCTTCCTGACACGTGGAGGATTCGAGAGCGCGACCGTGACGGTGAGAATAACGAGTAGTCCAAAAAGGAATTCCAACAGACAGAGAGAAACTATTACTGCTTCAATCTCCAAAGTCCAATCCCTATGAGCTCTGAATAGGATTTGGTCATGCTTTGGGTCCCAATTCCTAATTCTCTAGGCAAAAAGATGCTTAAAAGGTCAAAGACTATTGAAAAAAAACGTATATATGCTGAACCCCGATATATTTGCGGTCATTTGTAGTTGTTAATGCTGTAGTAAATATGCATTTAGGCCGTGAACTAAAGAAATATATCTAGTGTGAGTAGATACGAAGGACCACTAGGACACTACGTCCAGGCCTTGCACGTTACTTACAGAATAACACGGTCGGTAAACGCCCTACCAACAGTAGATCCTGTCGTCTCCTCAAAAGAATCAAAAGAACGTCATGCTCGACAGCAAGAATAGCAAAGAGAAAAGAAACTTCATAGAGCAAGCTTGTATCCGACCGTTGTGTCCCTTCTCCTTCCCTCCATCCATTAATGAGTGTCTCGTAATGCCGGCGATTTCAGCGGAAAGACACACGGTCAAACATATCAAACGAATATCAAACGAATCAAACAGTGTAAACAACCAAGAGCCTCACCATTAAGCAATTCAGCCGAAAACCAACAAGTCAGACCGTCACCAGAAACCCCACTACAGTAGTTATCTTTGCATATAAACCTGGTGATCGCTATAATTTAGAGGAGTCTCGTTGACCCAACCCTCGAACAATTACTGTGTGACACAATTATTTTGCTAGTTAAGATCTGTTAAGAACTAACGTACCTGATATCTGTCATGCTTATTTGACCCCGCGCCAGGTTTTTGAGCATCTCAACTTCCCTCACAGTCGCTATCGCGCGTATTAACTTAAGGAGGGTATTGGCGTCAACTTCGAGTAAGTTTATTCCCCCTCGAAAGCCTTGAGTAGCCCGTCCACGTCAAGCTTCTCCATGTGCATCATAGCAAGATACGCACGGTCCCGTTTCTCTATCTCTGGACTGTTCAGCATCTTGTGGAACTCGTCAGGCACGATCTGCCACGACAGGCCGAACCTATCCGCTAGCCAGCCGCACTGCCTCTTGCTCTTATCGCCGCCCTCGCCGAGCTTGTCCCAGTAGTAGTCGACCTCGGCCTGGTCCTTGCAGTTAACCATGATAGAGATTGCCCCGGTGAATTTAAAGTAAGGCCCACCGTTAAGGCCGATGAACTTCTGATCATTGAGCTCGAATTCGATAGTCATGAGGCTGCCGGCCTTGCGCCCGTGTAACTCCTTGCCGACTTCGGGGAAGTAGTGGCGCCCCGTAATCTTGGAGTTCTTGAATATAGAGGTGTAGAACGAGGCGGCTTCTTCGGCTTGGCCGTCGAACCAGAGGCAGGTGGTGAGTTTGCTGACGGACATTAGGCTAGCCGTGGTGTGCTAGGAAGGGGTAGAATGAGTTGCAATAGCAGGCGTGGCCAGAATACGTCTTGTAGTATCAGAGCAGTATTGACGACATAATCATGTTCGTTGCAACATGCTGGCTAGGTGTGGGGTAATACGGAGTCTGCTGGATGCACGTGATTTACAGGTTCAGGGTGACATGGCATAACACTTACTATTTAGTTAGCAGATATTCCCCTGCTGCAACCATTACTTTTGGCATTCCGTACAGGCCGTACTTGCCTTTTTTAATAGTGCCTTCCCTTGAGGTGCGTGATTGCCACTAGAGGCGAGCGCGACGGATTTCGCAAAAATTTGCGAAGCCATAGACAGTATGAGAAAAGGCTATTAGTACGTCTTCTTGCATACAAGAGCCATAGCTCAGGTATCCAGAAGATGCACGGACTAAAAGATGAAGATGATGTGAAAGAAGAATATGTCCTCCGAAATTACCTTTACATGGCACACAGCGCAACCACAGTAGACGAGTCCGTTGGGAGCAACTGTTGTAGGTAAAGCATGAAAGGTGGGGTGGTCGGTGTCAGACTGCCACCTTCCCTTGGCATTCGGCCGGTTTGTCTTGTTTGCAGAAGATAAAGCGAGGTTAGAGAGACGAAAAGGGAGGGGAAAAGAAGGATACTTATAGCCTTTTTGGTCATGATAGGAAATGTACATTTTGCTATACGGGCTAAATATTCGGGTAAGGAATATTCAGGTGGGTGAATATCTACCCTGAGTGCCCTGAATAAAGCGGCGAGCCGCCCATGCCCGAACCGTGGGCGCTAGGTGACCACCACCTTAGACTTACTGTTGTATGTTTTTGTTTTTTTTTTGTTAAAAGAAAAGCGCTAAGACAGGATCTTGACAAGGTAACATTCTCTCAGGAGACCGTAATGGGCTTGCTTTCATTCCCTTCCATATATGCCCTTCTCAAGTAATGCCCAGGTTAGTACCAGTAGACGGAAATAGGAAATAGTGCCAGGGTATGAGGACTCTATTCATTTCCCTCATCTTTGACTATATAGACCACCGACGAATTGTCAGCTTACGAACTCCTACTTTTGGCTCCTATTGCTGCACTACTCTCGACCGTCCAGAACAGCAGATCTTTGGGAAAAATTTTATTATCTTGGCCTAATTCTTAATCTGTCGCAATACTGACTGGTTCAGGCTGGCTTTTGTCACATCTTCAATACCTGACAAATGCAACGTCAACTGAAGATCTCCCAAGATACTCTTCAACACATGTCGGACCCCAGTCTCACCACCGATCGCCAACCCATACACATATGGTCGACCAACCAAAACCATCTTCGCTCCCAGAGCCAAAGCCTTTACAACATCCGCGCCGCATCTCACTCCGGAATCAAACAGAATCTCAAGATCGTCTCCCACCGCATTCGCAATGTCGGGCAACACATCCAGTGATCCGATACCTCCATCCTGCTGACGGCCTCCGTGGTTCGAAACCACGATACCCTGAACACCAAACTCACGCGCCTTCTTCGCATCCGCAACTGTCTGAATACCCTTTAACACAATCGGGCCATCCCAATGATTGCGCAAATATTGAATATCTTTCCATCCGTGGCTAGTACCCGGGAAGATGATATGCGCCCATTCAGCCGCCGCCTTGGAGATATCCTCTTCAATTGACATGTCGTGTTTGTTCCGGAAATATTCCTGGAAGATAGGATCTGAGAACCCAAGCTCAACCCCGATATTGTCGGCGCGAAGGAAAGGGTTATATCCGTGATCAAGATCGCTGGGTCGCCACCCAAGGATATACGTATCAAGCGTCACAACAAGAACTTTGTACCCAGAATCCTTGGCTCTCTTTAACAAGCTAGCAGTGATGTCCATGTGATCATTGGAAGGCCAATAGAGCTGATACCAACGTGACCCAGGACCGTTGGCATCCGCTACATTCTCAATACTCGTCGACGCAGCTGTACTCATGATATATGTGACATTTTCGGCGTCAGCCGCCTTTGCGGTAGCGACCTCGCCGTCAGGGTGAAAGATCGTCTGCACTCCAACTGGTGCAATGGCAATGGGGTAGTCGTATTCTTCGCCGAATAGGGTTGTCTTGAGGTTTGGGAAATCAGCCTCCACCAAGCGCGAGGGCAGTATTCCCCATTTCTTGAATGCTTCTCTGTTGTTGTCGTCTGTTTGGCGGATGCCAGCCGAGCCCCAGACGTAGCCGAAACTATTGGCTGAGAGGCGTTCTTTTGCGAGGGATTCCCATTTTGCAGGGTCGAACGAGATTTGGGACCTTTCATTGTTCAGGCCTGCTGCGTATATACCATTTTCATAGGTGTATGGTGTGGGATTGGCAGGTGTATCCATTTTGATGGATGGCTGACAGAGGGCGCCGGGGTACACAGTATCTGGCTGAACTGAATATGAAATGTATCGGAGACTTCGGGAGTTCTGATTCTCTGGAAGCCTTGGGCTTTTATCTGACAATGATCAAATCAAAGAGACGGGGGCCAGGCGAGGAGTGCTTTGTAATTACAGTATACGAAAGACTTGAACCGTACAGAGCGCTCGGCCGTAAGAGATTCAGTGACGTCACATTATGGAGACTAAAGCCGGAAGGAAAGCTTGACTATCGTGAATTTCATTTCCGGTCAATAGTTATCTCAGCTCCTCTGTGAAAGAAGAGGTTACGCGAGACTATAAAGATTTCTACAGACAAAATGTGACGACAAGTGCACGATATAACCAAAAAGGAGGTTCAAAAGCTCCTAGTTGAGATACACAACTTTTTTTTCCTATGAAGTACGGGACCTTTAGGAACCATATCCGAGAAACAGGTTCTGGTTAGACTGTGGAGTTGCAACGTTTATTTTCGTCCAGCCCTGTTTTCCGAGATCCACTCGGCTTCTCCACTCGGGATGCCGAAACAAAAAAGGCCTTGAGCCTTGTGGGTCTTATACTCGGAGTGTTGTCCAAGATCTATCGAAGATCCGAAACTTGTCCAAGGCACTGTGACCCACAATGTGATATCACTCCGTTGAATTTCCCACGAAAATATTACATCCCACCTCCAACCATCAAAATGAATCTCGATGGAAGCGTCACCCTTAAAGACCGAGTATGCCAGATCACATGGGGGTGGTACTCGTTGTCCATGGCTACTGGAGGCATCGCTGTCCTCCTCTACCGGACACCTCACCAATTTACCGGACTTGAGATCATTGGCAAAATTATCTATATTTTCAACCTCGTCCTCTTTCTCGCGATCACATCATGCATGATTCTCCGCTTCCTGGCCAAGCCAAGCGCTCTGAAGGAGTCATTCCAAAGCGGCCATGAAACCTATTTTGCACCGACATGCCTACTATCTATTGCAACCATCATCCTCGGAGCAGAAAGCTACGGAAGTAGTTCCTGTGGCCCCTGGCTGCAAGTAGCACTACGAATCGTCTTTTGGATCTACGTCGCGCTCTCCACGCTCCTCGCTATATTTCACAACTGGTATCTATACCATCTAGCCATGGCCAAGCAGCAACCATTCCCAATAGTGCAACTACTGCCCTCTTTCCCAGCCATGCTGTCTGGCACTATCGCATCGTCTATTGCGGCCAGTCAACCACGAGAACAAGCACTGCCAATTCTCATTGGCGGCGTCACATTACAAGGCTTCGGCTTCATAATGTCTCTGCTCATATACGGGGAATACCAGTACTTTCTCGCTAAACATGGTCTGCCAGAACCGTCCGAGCGACCTCAGATGTTCATTGCTGTCGGGCCGTGCAGCTTCACTGCTCTTGCGTTGATAGGAATGGCGAAGGAGGCGGTGGAAAGCTTCCCTTTAGGATATATTATTTCCTACGCTGATCCTGAGTCCATTGGGAGTGTCACCGTAAGCACTGGTGATATCGCCATGGTGATTGCCTCTTTCTTCGCCATCTTTGTTTGGACTATGGCGTTCTTTCACTTTTGCATCGCTCTTGTTAGTGTTTTGGCCTCTGCTGGAATCTTTGGAGGGGAGGGAGTCCCTGGCATGTCGGTTGTGTATTGGGCGATGGTATTCCCCAACACAGGGTTTATTATAGCGACGATTAGTATCGGGCAGGTGTTGCAGTCGGAAGGTATTCTCTGGGTTTCGTCCGTTATGACTGTATTGCAAGTGGCAATGTGGTTGGGTGTGAGCGGTGCGACCATACATGGGATTGCGAGACGTCAGATTTTATGGCCAGAAGATGCCCAAGAGAAGTGCCTAAAATAGAGGACGACTCCATTAAGAACTGAGAAACCAATTCAAATTATGCTAGAATAGGCGCAAAAGCTAAGTTTATGTTCAGAGTCTGGAACACATGGCACGACATGAATGTATTCCAACGGCAGTCTATGTCTGGTTACTGGGCCACACATAGACTGCCTAGGTACAATTGGACCATGAACCGTCATCAAAACGCACATCGACACTGCGGGTATATGCAATTGATTGATCCCATCTTCATGCAGAGACATTAACAAAAAGCCGACTACGGCCATCCTTCCATGGGCAGAGGCACACCTTCCCACTCAGTCCCATTGACCAACTGACCCGCCATATCCTGATCATCCCCAGAACCACCAAGCATGTCATCAGCAAATCCCCAACCCATAGACTCAAGCTCTCGGACGAAGAAATCGCGCTCTTCTTCCATCATCGATGTACCTTCATTGCCACCCATGACATCCTTGTACTGGCGCAGATGCCACCAGTGGGTTAGACCGCGCAAAGCTTGTTCCAGGGGTAATGCCTCTTCGACCTCGGCATCGACGTCTGAACCGGCGAGCCAGTCGTCGCGGAGCTCGGGGCGGCAGTAGAGATAGATAGCGGTGATGACGCGCATGTTACCCTGTCTCCATTTCCGGCCGCAGTATGGGACCTGTGATTTAAACAGCTTGAGGGTGTAGTTGCGGAGATGCGGGTCTGGGATCTTGAGGCCCTTGCGGAGGATGTTGCTGGACTTATACTGCACAAGCAGGAGACAGCGGTGCGCCTTATTGCGGGTGATCTTTTGCATCACGTGCAGGTAGTTGATCGAGGAGAAGAAATTGCGAAAGGAGAAGATCGTGATTGGCTCTTTGGGGGGAGGTGCTGTTGGGTAGCCTAGTTCGTCGACCTCAGGGCGTGTGTGGCCATTGAACATATCGGCGACTGAGTCTTCCTCGGACAGCCCGCGCATCAGGTTGGGGCGATGCCGAGAGATCGGAGGTGGCATGGCCTCGTCTTCGCTCTCGGTGTCTCCGCCTGAGTTATCATCGCTATCCAGAGCGTCTGTGTTACTGGCGCAGAAGTGGAAGAACCTGGTATATGTTAGGGACTGGCGCGCTGGTTGATGGTGATCGGGCAACTTACGACAAGTCTTCGCGATCATTCTTTTGTGCAACGGCCTGATCGACGTCTTGGTGGGCGAACATCTTGAGGATCAGAGGGAGATAGTTGGAGTCGAGTAGAAGCTGGGTCATATATTCGAATTTCAAAATATCTTTAGAGGTTAGTCGTATGTTTGGGGTGTCAACTAGACCGTAGAAACTCACGAGACCTCTTGAACCACTTCAAAAGAAGCACCAAAATTCCAGAGACTGCCTTTCCGGTGATCTCGCGAAGTCTGATATTATCAAGTTCATCGATAGACGCGTCAGAGAAGAGATCATGTGAGCCGTGCATTCCATTACTGAATCGTATGTTAGGTCCCATCCAAACCCGCTGGGCTTCATTGACCTCACCTCATGTTCTGGCTGTTGTAGCTGCCGGCTTGGCTGACCACCGAACTGACATTCGTCAAAATTATCTTCAAGAAAACTATCGTGATAGATTGAAGATGGGACAAGGTTTGGCGCTGTATGCTGGTTAGATCATGTCATATTCAGCAGGTAATATCACGCACGTAGAAATCCTCAACAGCATCCAGGCGCCGCTGAATATCAGGATCATCTGTCTCCTTCAGCTCGGATTTGGTATCAGGCCTCTCTTCGCCCTCTGAGAGATCCAAATGTTCAAAATCATCCGATAGATCGGCGTCAGGGAAGTGGGCAGCATCCTCAGCGTTCCAACCACGATCGTATATCATGAAATTTTCGCGTTCCTGCCAGAGCTGTCTGATAGCACGGGTCATCTTCACGTGCGTGGAGAAGAGCCTTCCAGCTTCAATGATCGATGCAGGAACATCACTGCCTTCCCAACGCTTGCCAACCAACGTATCCTGACGTTCCGTGGTACCTTTCCCGCCGATACTGTTACTAGAATCATCCAACGGAGGGTACATAAAGGGGAAGTTTTGGTTGGTTTGGTAATTCTGTTTCTTTCCGGCCTTGCCTCCTGGGCCGACCGGCGATGGTGGTGGGGATGGTGCCGGGGTTGCGATGTGGACAGACTGCTGGAGAATAGAGCCATTGCCGCCAGCAACTGACGGACCAACGCCACAGAATATGCCATTCGATGAGTTCATCTTGATCGCGTTGTGTGGAAGAGGAGGGAGAATAGAGTTGTTTTCCAATTCCAAAGGAACCACGAGTGGGGGAGGGTTGTAAGCCGGGTATTTCGATGTGATTTCTTGGCGGAAGACGTGGTAGTCCAAGGGAGAGGCATGGAGGAATGGAGTCCGGCGCTTGGTATCATCTCTATCGGCTGAATGGAAAGGCTCCAGAACGTCTTTGGCTCGCTTTAGGTCATCAACCCCTCCGAAAACAAGAAGGAGCGATTTCCAGAGCAAAAGAAGAATTCTGGTAAGCGGGATATTGGCAGATTCATCCCAACGTAGTCGGGCGATGATTTCAACAATAGAGACCAGCAGATTCGGGTTTGAGTCAATCAATGTATCGCGAATGGGACTGCACCCAATGCAACATGCCTCTTGCCGGCGGCCCACTTCCACGACAAAGTACAAACTTGTGAGGAGCAGATTTGCTTCACGCTCCGGGGCAGTGATGTCACCGGGATTGAGTCGCTCGTGCTCCATGCCATTGACGTCCGTCCCTAGGTTGGAGCGAGTTTTGTCGAAGAGTCGACACATGTATTCAATCAGAGCTGTTACTCCAGAGCATTGCTGGAGGAGGGTGACATTGTCTTCGATCCAATCGATCTGCAAAGATTTCCATGGAGGAGCTTCAGTCGACGTGTGAGATCTCTCCGGTGATGGGTAACCCGGAGCCACCTTTCCACCAGTGACGCCCCAAATTCCAGTCAGCAGGTAGCAGATGGTTTCAAGTGCTTCCAGCCGTACTGAGACATCGTCATGCTGCAGGCCGCCGAGTATCTGAGATACAAATGTGCGGCGAACATCTTGTGATACGTCAAGCCAAGATGTCAGCGTGGCTATCTTGCTTTGCTGACAAAAGACATTCCATTTCTGGTTGAAGGTGGCCTTGGTGCCCATGAGCATGACACGATCGAAGTCATTATACTGGAACCACTCTTCCAGTTCATCGGGAAAAGGCTGGGCATCGGCATATTCAAATGCATAAGCTGGCTGCTCAATCTTGGGCATATCATGCACGAGTCTGCGCAGCTGGGATAGACTCAATGAGTCCGTGGGCTGGCCTGGGTTCTCCTGAACCGGAGCCGGAGGTGGTGGCTGCAAAGGCGGCGGAGGAGCACAACTCTCACGGCGGAGTTCTGGCCGTTTGGTGGTTTTTTCAGGTTCAGACGGTGTCATCTCTGCGGTGGGTGCGGCCTGAGACGCCTGTTCCTGGCGAAGCCCCTCAGCCACTTCCTCCATGAGCTGGTCATCTGAGACGGGCGAGATATCAGTCCCAGTTTGGTCGACCTCATCGGCTTTGACGATGTGGTGCTCTTCCATCGTGGAGTCACGGGTATCAGATGGGACGTCCATCCCTGGAGGTCGGGCGAGTCTGGGTTTCTGAAAGGCAACTCTTGTGGATCGCCAGATTGGGGGTATTCACACTCCAGGCATCAGCCAAGCCAGTGACTAGTGAGATGTGTACAGTTCAGCTCGCCTCATACAAGTAAATCATTACACATTCCAATTCGTCACGTCCAAAGCAAGCGATGCGAGTTTGAGTTGCGGTGTTGATTTCTGGGAGGGCGCCACGTGACCTGGCACAATGTTTACACGCCACAGGCACTATCGCGATGCTCCACGAGAGATTTTATAAGAGCTCGAATGCTCTCTCGCGTGCTTGAAATTCCGGATAGTTCAAGTTATGAAGTATTCTACAATTCGCCTTGGGGAAACCCCTACAAGACGAGAAACACCTCTATAAAATGGCAAATTTGTGGCGGTAAGAAAGGCGGTAACTTCACCTGCTTGTCTATTGTATCTCACGCGAACATTGGGACTTCGAGATTGTATTTTAAATTAAGAGCGATATATGCGACAAATGCGATAAATGTACAGGCTGATGCGTGTTCTTTCTACAAAATCGGGGTATACACAAGATGAGACGAGTTCTGTCCTTAGGCCGTCTTCTTTTCACTACTGCGACGCTTCAATCTCCGAGCTTCCCATCGTTGCCAGCCGGCCTCGGCCAGGTCTTCACTTACCACGAGATCACGGATCCTCACTAACCGAGACACGGTCAATTCCATGGCCCATTCAATCCAGCCGGAGCTTCGCAGCACGCTGGTGAACATGAACCAGACACAAGCACATGTGAAACCGGCGGCACAGCCAGCCAGGACTTGTCTCGGGGTGTGGTAGTTGAGGTAGATACGACTGGCAGCGACACTGGCAGCGCCCATGCAAAGGGCTAGCATGACCAGGACGCGGAGGAGGACGGCAACGTTGGGGTAGGAGCTGGCGGAAGCTTGGCTATGACGGAAGAGGAGGAAGAAGGTCAGGTAGACGGAAAAGAAGGTCATGAACTGGGCGTGCGAGGATGGCATGCCATAGCCCTTGCCGAACATTTCTGTAACAGTCAGTCAGTTTGAGGTCCTCTGGAGGTCCCGGCCATCACCACTTACCCTTCGGTCGCTCTTCTTTAATCAAACGCTTAAGGGCAAAGTTGAGAGCTTCACAGGCCATCTGGCCAGCAAACATGAGGATCACCTCCACCTCTCTGGTTGACCAGACCAATGTTGCGTAGGAGACACATAATGCTTGTGGGATCAAGGCCAACCAGGCTGAAACGAAGGACAACTGGTCCTCGGGGTTCTAGATATGTTAGCATTGGCTAAGATAGGGAATAACGCGGGGAGACACACATAATGGACATGAGTCAAGGACAGAGAGGCGAGTGGAGTGTCCCCCATGGTGGAAATATAGTAAAAAGAATGAAGTGGAAAAAGAGAGAGAAGTGAAGTACAGTCGAGGCCGGGAGATGTTCAGGGTCTGGGACAGGGTAAATCCGGTCCGTGATAAGAGATACAAAGCCCAACGGCGGGGACTTTTCTCAGGCATCGAGTGGGATCCCACTTTCTTTTCTCTTCTTTTTCTCTGTCTCTTCTTTATAGCATTTCATTTTTCAAATCATGACGCAGCTGCTCTCGCCATATTCTCCTGATTTCTTGTTACATCATTTACTAGACCCCTCCCGCTCTGCCGAACAGTGGCCTCAAATACTCGGGGCGCCGTGAACTACTCTGGTTGGTCTACCACTGGTTCTCAGTCGCATCGCTGATTCGAAGTGTTCCTGCAGGAGATTCCCCATTTCTGCCCGACCCTGACACTTCACTCCGATCTGTCGCCACACCATACCTAACCTCTTCGCGACTGCCATGGCCTTCCTGTGCTAAGACATATTGGGGGAGACATATACGGTCTCCGAATCGCAACACAAGGCTTTAACGGAATATCACCACATCCCAACTTAAAGTCGACGGAAACCCCGGCGAATCGGTTTCATCCGCGCCAAAATGACTGAACTAGAGTGCGCCGAGGATGACCGCTCCGTCGAGCTGTCGTCCATCGCCGCCATCTTCCCGGAAATCCAGATACAACCTGGGTCACCCTTTAAAGCCGCGCTTGAACTGCCAGTCGTCCCATCGTCGCCAATCTCGGTCTGTTTTCAACAGCCAGTCGATGCTGCACTCAACGCAACCATTACCCCTCCGACTTCCTTGGATGAATCCAAAGGAGAACTCGACCAGCCGCCTGTCAAGGACGTCCATATCCTAACATATTTACCTCCTCTTAGCCTCGAGATCGAACTGCCCGAAGGCTACCCTACCGAGAAGCCACCAATCGTCCATCTTACGACCGTTTCATCATGGCTGCCTGCCTCGGTTATCGACCGGTTATCTGACGACTGCCGCCGACTCTGGGAAGAATGTGGAAATGATCTCGTCGTTTATACCTATATTGATCACCTCCAACAGCTGGCAGAGACGACATTCGATATTAAATCCGCATCGGGAGAAGTGTGCTTATCGCGGGATCTGAAAGTGGCGCTATTGGACTTCAATATAAAAGCGGAACAAGAAAAGTTTGAACAGGGAACTTTTGAATGTGGAGTTTGCCTCGAACCAAAGAAGGGTACGCTTTGCCATCGATTGCTGCGCTGCTCCCACGTTTTCTGCGTCGGTTGCCTGCAAGATTTCTACGGAACCTGCATCCACGAGGGTGATGTAGATAGTGTGAAATGCATGGCACCGGACTGCGAGTACAGCAAGAGACTTCCAGCACAGGGCGACGGCCAAACGCCACCCCGCAAAAAGCGCGATCCTAGTATTGGACCTAGCGAGCTCCTTCAGATACCGTTGCCTCCGGAGGCAGTTCAGCGATACGTTTTTCTCAAGCGCAAGAAGAAGATAGAAGCCGATAAGAACACCGTCTACTGTCCTCGAGAATGGTGCCAGGGAGCAGCACGATCCAAGCGTCACCCAAAACCGGAAGACCCACTGACCGACGATTTGGAAGTTTCCGATGATGAAGATGGATTTGATCCTCTCGGCCCCGAAGACCAACTGCCTCCAATGGCAGAACGCGTGGCCATCTGTGAAGACTGCAACTATGCCTTTTGCTCTGTCTGCAAGAAAGGCTGGCACGGAGAACTAATACGGTGCTACCCACGGCGCGCAGGCGAGAAAACAGAAGAAGAAAAGGCAACCGAGGAATATTTGCGGCTATACACTTCTCCTTGTCCCACCTGCAATGTGCCCTGCCAGAAACAAATGGGCTGCAACCATATGCGCTGTTTCCAGTGCGATACTCACTTCTGTTACCTCTGCTCAAGCTGGCTGTCCGCCGACAATCCATATCAACACTTCAACACCCTAGAGAGCAAATGCTACAACCGGCTATGGGATTTGGAAGGCGGCGATGGTATCAATCCAGACGGAGCCGAAGCACTCCACCGCATCCCCGAAGCGCTCCTGGTTTTCGACGATCCACCACCAGCAATCATCCACGAGGAGGCCGAAGAAAGCGACGAGGATCGCCCTGCATTCGAATTCGACAACGATGAAGACGACCTGCACGGCCACCGGCATCCACCTCCACCAGCCCCAGTCCCACCCCGCGTCAATGCCGGTGGCCGACGACCCGGTCCACGCGATCATGCAGCGGCCCGTGCCGCAGCAGCCGAACGCCGAGCCCAAGCTCGCGCTATGGCCGAAGTAAGACACCGCAACAACGGAGATGAGCCCCGGAGGCCTGTCCGATGGGCAGATATTCCTCCAGCTCCTCAAAATCCACAAGGACCTCTGGGTTATCTCGGCCCGCCCCTTGATGACGAACATGAGCCTATTGCATGGGAAAATAACCACCCTGGCCAAGGACAGGAAGACGAGGCTCGTGCTGGCCTCCAGCGCTTTCTAGCTCTCGTGCAAAACGACCGCGAGGATGAATGGGATAGCGATGAGTTGAACGATGACTTCTGAATTTATGATTTGATGTTTACAATCTACATCACAACAACGATACAAGGAAATCTGATGAACAGGATTTCCCAAAAAGCGTCATAATGAGATTGATGCATGTGACGACGATTATGCCTTTTTTTTGACTCCTCTATTTAGCTAGTTTACGTACCTTCGGGTTATTTACTGCCTCCCGGTTTTCCTCTTTTGGTTTCGTTTACCCTACATACTTCTCAGCACACTTCGTGTATCCTTCTAGGGTCTTATTTCTGGCCATCATATTTATCCTTGATTCCCGCGCAGGTACTTTCTTCCTCGATGTGTCCTTCTTGGTTAAATTATGTTTATAGTTCAACATTTACATATGACCCCAAGAGTATATTCGCAATATATCATGTGTTTATTTGAATTTACTTTCCCAATCTTCGACTTTCTGTTCCAGACTTGGTTGGTTACGTGTAGACCTACACATGAAACGGTTAGAACGCAGGAATTAGCAATTGGTCTGTATTCTCCACTCAGCTTTGTAACTCGCATTATGTTATTCGGGCATTAGTTTTAGTATTGCGCGTCTCGTAGGTATGTGTATGTGGATCTTCAATACATACACACAACATACTAGAATCCAGGTGCTATGACGTACCCGGATAGGTTACCCTTCGTTGTTCACTGGCAATACATTGAAAACGAAAGACTATACAAATATTAGGTTGCAGCGTATCAGGCACCATTGCAGGATCTTGCAGCAAAGTGCGTATGCAAAGAGTGCAAAATTGGCAGGCGCTTAATAACGTCTCTCTCAGCTGATTCCCAATCTGAATCCACCCCGCATCCTACATCATGCACATCATATGGCGAGACTCCAGCGACAACAAAAACTATGAACAAGCACGCGTGAAGAATGTCTTCAATCTTCATCGCCCTAAATACTTTCCACGTGCTGTAGTCACAGCAACATGCGCAAAAGATGTAATTGCCGCGGTGAAAATAGCACAACAGGAAGATTGTCAACTCGCTGTGAGGTCGGGAGGACATTCAACCCCCGTCTGGAGTCTACAAGAACACTCGATCCTATTGAACCTGGGAAGCTGGAAAGAGATCATCGTGGACACCAAGTCAAACACAGCAAAAGTGACAACTAGTGTTACAGGACAAGAATTGAATCGGTATCTACAAACGCAACATGGCCTTATGTTTCCTGCCGGGCATTGTCCGGATGTTGGACTTGGAGGGTTCATGCTTCAAGGAGGCCAGGGATGGAATTGTCGAGTATGTCATTCTTCTTCTGTTCATCCTCTGCGTTACTAACAGGTCCTAGAACTGGGGATGGGCTGCCGAGAAGCTACTCGCCGTGGAAGTGGTGACAGCTCAGGGAGAGTCCTTGCTCTGCAATAAAGAACAGCATCAAGACCTCTACTGGGCTGCCCGCGGAGCAGGACCATTCTTCCCGGCAATCGCGACTATATTCCACTTGCAACTTTTACCATATCCTGTTGGATTTCGATCCTCGGGATATATCTATCCGGCCAAGATGTACCGCCAGGCCTTCGACTGGGTTCAATCTGTTGTTCCAACCGCTGATCAAGACACCGAGATCGTCATGGTGGCATTCCATTCCGAACCCGATCGCGAGATATGCTTTAAGGTTCATTTCATCACCATGAAAAGTAGCATTGCAGAAGCCGAGGCTGCCCTGATGAAATTGCATACCGGCCGCCCTCCTGGAACACTATCAGAATGGGTGTGTCAAGAGGAAAGTCTGGAGAACCTCCATCAAGGCCAAGCATTGGCAAGTCCGAAATATCTTTACTATTACACGGACAATGCCTTCATTCGCGAAGGAGCTAAAGTGACAGATGTGCTAGAAGAAGGCTTTCTCAGTCTCCCTCCTGGTAAATCGTGGGCATTCTGGTCTCCGACGTATCCGTACAGTGAACGAGTTGTCTCAGACATGGCAATGATCGTGCCATCAACCCACTACTTCTCAATGTATGGTATCGCTGAAAGCGAAGATCTGGCTCCGCAATGCAGGACGTGGGTGGAGGGTACTATGGCTGGGATTAGGAAGTATGCCGTTGGTTCATACTTGGGCGAAAGTGACTTCAAGGATTCGCCTGAGTGGTATTGGGGTGCACGTAATGCCCGACGCCTTGAACAAGTGCGCCAGACGTGGGATCCGAGTTCTCTGTTTTGCTCTGTGCATAAGCTCTCAAGGAAATAGAGAACGAGACATACACTTCTTCTTAAACGTAATATGTCTAGGAGGGCCTTTAAGGGATTCGAATACTACTATCGAAACTTTTATGGTGCCTATTTGCGAAATAAGCTAGCTTGCCCTTGTTTCTTCTATTTGCCTACGCAGAGTCTGCTTTAATCGCTTTCTTCCGCTATCGATCCGCTACTAAATCGGTACGATCTAATATTGGTTTATAAAATAGTAATTTATCTACTTAGAGATTTTATACGTCCGAAATAGTGAACTCTAGCAAAATTATCCTACCAAGGTCCCGCGACGGGTTCCATAGTAGTCCGCAGGTAATGTCCAACGCTCAGCAAGGTACAATCAGATGCATTGATCAGTTTGTCGAGGCCTTCTTTCAGAAGGACCCTTACTTCCCTAGACCCTATCAAGCTCTCTGGGCTCGGGTTTCCGTCGCCTTATTCTGAGAAAGCAAACGAAGTTGAAGGCTTTCAGAATTACCCGGCGAATCCATTGCTGCATCCATGTCACACCAAATGTCGCTACAGGATTAGGGTTAGTTTCGAACTGCTCAGGGACTCTATTGCTCGAACGTATGAGACTCAACTAGGCTGCTATATAATATCTCCGATCGGACTCCGGGTCAGCAAATCATATAAATGAGGGGTTCACTTTGTAGACGGAATTCATCTTTCAGATTCTGTTGCAATTTTCATATAGATACACTTATGAACACTGCAATGTCTCAGTCCCCTTTGAACATCGAGTTCGATAAATTGGTCGAAGAATTGTTGCAGACATGGCATGTTCCAGGTCTTGCAATTGCAGTGATTGATGGTGCTTCTACATTTTCCAAGGTAAGCCGCGATATCTCTCCACGGCACCAATACTTACACAGTACTAGGGCTATGGACTGGCTGTTCTTCCTGATGTCCCCGTTACTCCTGAGACAGTCTTCTTTACAGCCAGCACAACCAAATCATTTACAGCCGCTAGCGTATCACTGCTGATAGATGACGCCGCATTGAATCAATCTACAGAGCAGATTCCGTCAGATCTCTCGTGGACTTCGACCATCTCCTCCGTCGTTCCAGAGGACTTTGTCTTAGATGATGAATATTCAACATCGCACGTTACCTTCGAAGATGCCTTGAGCAACAGAACCGGTCTTCCAGATCATCTCAAGAGCTTCAGGCCAAAGACAACATCCCTTCAAGAAGGCATTCGATCTCTCAGACACCTTCCACTCGCCGCAGAGATGCGTTCCAAGTATCTATACAGCAGTTACATGTTCTCCGCAGTCTCGTATGCAATCGAGAAAATGACAGGTACCAGACTAGGGGATTTTATGAGAGAGAGAATATGGTCCCCTCTAGATATGACCCGCACATACTGGACACCACAAGAAGCAAAAGCAGCAGCAAGCTCCGGAACGACCCTAGCCCACGGTTACGCATGGAACGCATCAATAGAGAAATACACCGAAGAACCAATGCCCGACTTCCCGGTCGTATCAGGCGCCGGCGCAATAATCAGCAATGTTCTCGACTACACGAAATGGCTCCGGTGCATGATGACCCAGTCCTCTCCAATAAGTCCCGCCGCCCATGCAACACTCATCGAACCACGCATCCACTATCCTCAGCAGGCCACAAATCCATTCCCGGCTCCGCATTCCTATGCCCTCGGGTGGAGGATTGATAGTTATCGAGGCCAGCGCGTGGTCTGGCATACAGGAAGCTGGACTGGATACGGCTCAACGATGATGTATCTACCTGATCTCCAATGGGGATTGGTTCTCATGGGCAACACGACTGGGACGAGTAATTGCGTGCAGACGGCTTTGTATATGCATCTGGTAGACGACCTTCTTAGTACGCCAGTCTCTGACCGAATCGATTGGTCGGTGGAGCTTCTGCAGCTTCGGGATCGGAGGAGAGTGGATAATGGTAATGCGTTGGGTCGACTCTATCCTGATTTACCTTGTCCGGTAGACCCGCCTTTGCTTTCGCTTGGGACCTATGCTGGGCGATATCATCATGCTGGGTATGGAGATATGGAGTTTGAGCTGTGTGGAAATGCACTCGTTGCCTCGCGGCTTCTTTATGAAGTCTCCATGGTGATTCGGATGACTCATGCTACTGGGGAGTTCTGGATAGCGAAATTGGAAATTGTGAACCAGGATTCGCGCGATCAAGAAATTGTTAGGGCGAGGTTTCAGGTCACGGAGTATGGGATCGCAGGACGGGTTGGGTTGGATTTGGAGCCTGCGCTTCAAGGTCAGATGATATGGTTTGAAAGGATAACACCATAGTGTTCGCTATAGCGTCCAATACTCGATCGTGGTGGGATGAGTGATAATGAGGTTGTTGGAAAACTTTGTGTGGAGCCAATCATGTTGAAGCTGTTAGAGCCTCAACTGGATGCGCAAGTTGAGGTTGAAATCGTGTTGATAAAGATTGTCTTCCTCCGGCAGCATTGATAATTCATCACGAAGGACCAAATTAACATATAGAGTTCGTATGGCTCGACTAAAGTACATATGCAATTGTACAATTGGGCGCCACCAGGTGGATCTGACGGTTTCAGGAAACAATGTAAACAACGGTTCTTTTACAATGCGATCAGCAGTCTCCCAATACTATGATCATTTCCTCCAGTTATGCCAGAACTCGTAGCTCATGACAGTATGATCGCAGAACATCAGAAGAAGCCTGTAATGTCGGGATGGGTGCGATCCATGCCAGGTCTCATGGGGTTGATACACATCCGAGGCGTGGGCATGGATTTCAGGAAGTGTGAGATTCGGAGGAACATCGAACATGTTACAAGCACGATTGCTAGTTTGGGATCCTTGTTCTCGCGTGGAGTCATTCTGGCCAGCAGGTGTAGACTCGGTGAAGGAAGCATCCTGGTCGGGGTTATTGGAAGTAGTTGTGGCTGGATCATCGTCTGACTGATCATCGTCTGACTGATCATCGTTATCAGGGTTCAGTATGCGGTAGTTGAATTCGAGCCATTCGTCAGGATCGACATCCCGAGGGATACAGGGTACATCTGGCGGGATCTCGAATCCTGGCATAGGGCTCACAGCGATGCCAAGAAGAGGAACCATAGGTCGTTCATCGGCCATCTCCTGTGTAAAGAAAGGGACAATCCAGTCGAGGCGGAAGGAAACGCCAATTTCCTCCTGCCAGGTAATGGTAATGATAGCAACACGGCCTTTTTGGGATGCAGCGACAACAATCCCAAGTTCAGGGACATACTTGACCATGTTAAAGCGATCACAGGCAGCGTTAATCTCCTCATTCATGTAGGAGCGTTGCCAAAGAGGTGCTTTACAGAGCGTTTGAAACTCGGCGTCAAGTGGGTATGGAGCCAAACAGATATCACGCTCGGAGAAATGTAGGAGGGGGAAGAATCGAGGTTTAGATGCTAAGATCATAGTCAGTATTGTTAAAAAGTGCATGTATGCTTGTTCTTGACGTACGATGAACGGGGATGCGCTCCAGAGTCGGTAGGTCATTCTCCTCAAGAACTGGTGGCACAAGAAGTTCGAATGGGTGGACGTCGGAATTTTTGTTGTCTTCTTCAATCAAATCGATAATAGGAGGGGTTGCACGAAGCCATGCACGGGGCGTAGTGTTGTCTAGGTCAGTTTGAGAGTCTCCACAAGCCTGTGGGAGATCCTGCTGTGAACTTGAATAATGGGGTTGAGAGTCAGGCCCAACACAGCAATCGGGCGAGAATATATCCTCGGGCAGGGGTCTGTGGGTCATAGAAGACCTAGAAACCCTGAGAGCAAGGGCCACTGACATTTCGCTGATCTGGTCCATTGCAGTCGTTACATTGAGTATCATCCGATTCCGCATCATTTTTGGTATTGGTTGACATCCACATGCATCAATTTTCAGACTGTGTCGTTGAACTCTGCGCGGGTCTATGGGCAAGACAAACCATCCCCTCTGTGGAGGGTTGTTGTGCGGATTTCCAAGATAGGACATCTGGATGGGGCTCAAGTCGTCCCAGACCCTCCAAACAACGACCCGGTTGAAAATGTCAGTGCTAACCATCCACAAGCCATTCGGGTCCAAATCAAAGTTGGCAAATGACACGCAAGGAATGTTTTCGAAATGACCTTTGTAGCTCATCCGCAAGTTGCGTTTGCGGTGATTGGGCATTTGGTGTTTGATCTCATTGAGTTGATCCAATTTGTTGACTTTGACCCAGATTTGCTCTTCTCCTTCATCGTCTCCCGATTCCATATTATGAGAAGGACTTGGGTCGCTATCTTCACGCTCTGGTGCAAGGTCCACCATGGCAAAAGCAAAAACCGTGATATTGCCGGTGTTTGAGCTCACGGCAATCAGACGGGCGAACTTATGAGTTGCCAAGCCCCAAGCACTCTTCTGGACATACTCTGCGAAGAAAGGTTTTATTCCAATCCCATCAAACGGTCTTTTTTGTCCGAATTCTGCGCACTGATTAATTTCTGAAAAGATAGCCTCAACGTTGTAGCCAGTGACGTTGCCAGAGTCCGTCGCCAGTAGCAAAACTTCGTCGACTCCCAAATCATCCACAATGATATGGTTTACGTTATGAGGTGCCGACGGATCAATGTAGCCAGCCGCCTGGGGCTGCTTCATCACTGGGTGGATGATCATTTCTGGTCGGACACCGAGCAGCTGTCGGGATCCTTTCGGGATCCATACGTATATATCGCAGCCATAAGCCACAAATAACAGGTTTCGACGTTGCGAGAGTGCAGCCTGTTCGAAGTTAATGGGAAGATCAAGTCAACATGCGCCTTGATAGGTACTCACCAAGTTACATCTCCAGGTAGCTATATCCGGACCGTGATTGTCACCTCTCCTTCGTGCCAGTTAGCTAAATATCATTCGCGCAATGTATCCTAGAACACCAACCTAGGAAACTAGCGCAAGTCAGTTCATAGCTCTCACGTGAGGTTCTTGCAGACAAAGGAACGTACTCGCTGCTCCTGGGTTTCAACATTTAGGGCCTTGAGATTAGGCCTTATCTGTTCAAGGCGTTGTTGAAAGCTTGCGGGACCTGGATCCTCGATATGAGGGGAAGCCATTGCGGCAGGCTAAAGGCGGTTGTCCGCAATTGCGGAGCGAAGGGAAGAGTACTTCCACGGGTATGAGCAGTGAGAGTCGGGAAGCTTAAGCGAAAGTGGTGGTACTGTCATTTCCAATGGTGTGAAAGAGGAAGAAGGGAAAGTGGTCAAACTGTGTAGATAGGACATCGTCAAGTTGCTGAAAACATTCGATGACAGCGGGGAGAAGTGGATCGGGCAATGATGAAATCCACTGTACACCGCCCTTGGCAGCTGCCACTCTCGAAACGGCTTCAGCTCTCACCTCCGCTTTTCTTTTCAAGTCATTCACGATGGACCTTGTTGCTGGAGTGCGCAAAGAAGGCAGCCGGTAAGCTGTTACAAAACTGTGAGACTATTTGAACTTCGCTAATTTATGTCGAAGCGGCGGCCGCAATGAATTCAAATGGTCCGATGTCAAGGACTCCGCCCATCGCGAGAACTACCTGGGCCATTCAGTAATGGCCCCGGTCGGCAGATGGCAGCAAAACCGCGACCTACAATGGTACGCAAAAGGTGACGGTGAAGATGAAGAAGAACGACTGAGAAAGGAGCGAGAGGAGCTCCAGCGTGTCAAGGACGCCGAGGAGGAAGCTATGGCCGTCGCCCTAGGTCTTCCCGTGCTTCCAAAAGCCTCTGAAAACGCAAATATGGTTCCTCTTGGAGGGAACGGAAGTAAAAACACGCAACTGAAGGATGAGGAAATGCCGGACGCCGGGGCGAGGGAGAAGGAGCACCGTTCGAGTCGCAGACACAGACATGATCGCAGCCGGAGCCCACGACGAGAAAGGAGACACGATCGCAGTGAAGACCATGGTCGTGAAAAGGATCGCAGACACCGACGACACCACGATGACAGAGAACGTCATCATCGCAGCCATCGACACAGATCCCGGTCACGATCTCGCGGTAGAGATCACCACAGACGCCGGTCAGCGTCCCGCTCTAGAAGTCGACCCGGTCGCAAAGATGAAGAACACCAGAGACGTCGACGTGCGGAGCGTAGCTACTCTCCAGCTGAGCGCCGGCGTCATCCCGAACGCAGAAGGGACCGTGACGATCGTGATCGCCGACATTGAGCTACGACAAGGGATACAGATTGACTACATTAGCCTGGCGTTGGAGGACTTGTTTCACATGGCGATTATGAACCGGCTCTCGCAACGATCACTATATATCTAATCTATGTGACGAGCATACAATCTTTCACAGGGATAACCAATCCATAACATTTTACCATAATTTCCATTCCACTCCGATCTACGTTTGCGCCATCTCACATCTTCGATGCGCATATTCTATATCTGCAAGAATAAACCGAGAATGTGGCTGGCAGTAAGATTTCTACTGGCTATCAAGATATCTAAGGGCACACTGTATTTCACATCAAGCTCCAAAGTAGCTTACAACTCGTCATGGACGGGGTCTCCGGTCTTGACCAAATCCGGCATGGACATCATGTTCACCACCATACTGGTCCAGCCGGTAAAGTGCTGCGTGCGCTGGCCATTACCCGAATCAGGGTTGTACTGCTCCCAAGCGAAGCCAGTCTTCTTCCACTCACGGAAGACATTCTCAACCAAGTTCTTGCGCAGCTGAGAGTACATCTCCCGCGCCTGTTCCTGGTGGTCACCAGAAGCCAATGCAATATCCTGTAAAAGAATGTCAGAATTAGACGGGATATTATCAAGATGAAATCACTTACATAGAGATTCTTTAACACCAAGTAGTTGATGTTAACCCAGACAGGGCTTCTCCAATAATTCTCATCGGTGTCGTAGAACTTGTCCTTCTTGCTCAAGCTACGAATACCATAGTCACTCCACAATTCTTCGGGGTCACTGATCAAGTCCAACACGGCCTTGAGGCGAGGACTCTCAGGGCCCAGCATGCCAGTCAGGAAGGGGAAGATGGAGATGTAACCCTTGTGGCAAACATGAACACTGTCTTCGAAGGAGTCGATAGTCGCATCACAGAATGTTTGCTCCTGCTCATCCCAATGTAGGTCATCAATGTTGCGAGTGATAGCGGTCTCGTAGTAGGCGAACTCTTCGGCATCATCTTGCTCGCCGAGGCTCTCGGCAATGCGACGAATAGTGCGGGTCATCATGCCCATCCAGCTGATCAGATCAACGTGCAGCTCGCCGGGGTGAGGTGGCTGAGGTCTGGGGTAGTCATCAATTCCAGAAGTGAGGATGTGCTGCACCGAACGTCCGCGCCAGCGGTAACCCTCCTTAGTGGAGAAGGCTTCCCGGTCGTAAGACTTGATGTCGCCACGCTGAGTGTTTCTGTACCAGAAGTAGTGCTTTTTCAGGAGTGGGTAGAATGAACGAAGGTATGCCTCAGACAACTCGGGGTGGCGGACAGTAGCAGAGCGCAGGCTAGCGGTCACGTCCTGGTTATCCAGAGTTTCAGCATGGATGCTCTTGTTGCTCTTGACCTTGTCCATGAAGGCTTCCAGGGCCATGAACAGGGTGGGCGGGTTGGCGTAATGAGGGTACTGGACGGTAAACTCAGCGGGAACCTTGCTGCGTGCCTCTGCGCCGAGAATTTGCTCGCGAGCAATCCATCCATCCTCGTCCATAAGGTTGAACCAGCTCTTGATAATCTCAAGCCTGTAAAAGAAATCAGTACGGGCCAAAATCCATGATCGAAACGATGTAGACGTACGCAAGGTCGGTATCATATTCAATCACGGGCATCAAGTGGAAGCCTTCATCCCAAAGGAATCCTCGGGGGAAGAACGGCCGAGAGGGTACACAAGTGAAAAGGTCCTTGGGTCCTTCAATGACAGGCTGCACCGCAGCTCTGGCCTCGGCAGTCTCCTCCCAGAAACCTTCGTTCTCCTCCTCGTACGCAGGGTTAGCAGAACGGTCCACAACATCGTCTCCGTGGAAGAAACCGATGCCACCGATGAGGTTGGACAGCATGGCCTTGGAGAATTTGGAGTACTTCGGCGAGTCAAATGGCGCCTGTGGTGGGAGAACCTTGTCGAACGTTTCAGAGAACGAGGCCGAGGCATCCTTGATCTCCTTGGTCAGGGTTTCCGAGGTCAATGGTTCAGGTGCAGAGCCCGAGGAGAACAGAACGTCGAACTCGAACGCGCCTGTGAAGACCTTTTGGACAAAGTGTGCATTGCCCTGGCCAGGATTGTGCTTGATGGTAAAGAGCTGGGGAGGAGGCGGGATGTTCTCCTGTCCATACTCCTCAAGAGCTTTATCAACCTCACTTTTCAATTGAGTGAAATAAATCCCTTTTGCCTGCCAAAGTTGTTCCTCGGGGAAAGACACACTGCCCACCAGGCTGTTGGTCAGTGGCCGGTTTGCGGAGCTAGGGTGGTCAAAACGAGGATGTTTGTTGGTGACCGGTCCAGTAGTGACATCAATAGAGAAGTCACCAAGCTCAGAGGAGTAGCCACTGAGCTTCACGTTGCCCTCGATGCCAGAAGGTTCCTCGTTGGTGTCGGTCTCAACGCCCACATGGCCCAGTCCCTCAAGAGTGGTATAAAAGATCATCGAGATGGGTAGATCGGGGCTAGCACCCTCGCGAGGCACACCCTTGACGCGGAATCCCCAGCTACCTCCGTTCTGGCCACCAGGGACCTTAATGAAGTCGATGGTAAGGTCCAAGTTGTTCCCGGCATCGTGAATAGTCTCCCGTCCACCCTTGCGGATATCGTACTCATCCCAGCCATACCCGGCCATGCCTTCATTTTGTTCGCAGGTGTGCCTAAAGTCTTCAAGATGTTAGCTTCCCAGTCCACGCAACGCAAGCAAGCAAACAGGGATCAGGGATCAGCAACGTACTCTGTTGAGCACCAATGTATTCATCGACCTTGCCCCAGATTAATCCCGCAGACAAACTCTTTGGAATGCGAGGACGCACTCCAAAGTAGAGGTTCGATTTGTAGGGTCCCCATAGCAGGGACTGGTTGTTGGCGCGTCCAGACTCTCTAATCAAGGCGGACACATCGCTGGGATCCTCACTTGCAACGATCCCAGTCGCAGAGAGAAGCGACGATAATAGAAATGAGATCCCGAGGTGACGCATTGTGCAAAAAGCGTCACTCAATTGGTGAACATTGGATAGTTGTCAGTTTCAGGTCGCGGAGCTGTTGTCCTCTCCGCAATTACGTGGCCCGAGCTCCACCTCTGCAGGGCTATAAATCATTAAGGTCAATTCTGACTGCCAGAGACACTTAATATACTAGATTTTATGGCTATTGATACTGTACCAACGGTCTATCTCAGAAATGGTCGCGCGGATCCAACGATGCTATCTTCGCACTCTTTGCCTGTCCATCAAACACAAACTCGCTCATAAGCTTGCCAGTTCCCGGGGCATTTTGGATACCCCAGCATGTATGACCAGCAGCGAGGTAGAGACCCTTGACACCAGTCAGGCCGACTAGCGGACCACCGCCAGAATCACAGTTGGGGAGATAGCAAGCCTGGCGCGCGCGAACCTCACCGTCGCGCAGATTGTCAGAAATACTACCCACCTGGTCGATGATTTCCTGGCAGCGTTCCTGGTCTACCTCGACTTCTGATGAAAGCTTCGGTAGAGGGACTATCCTGTCTCCCTCACCGCATGCATACACCGTCCTATCAGGGCGCGCGTAGATCTCTGGCGCAGCCACTGTTGGACGAGACTTCTTCTCCGGGTTGAAGTTTGCGGGGATCTCGATGTTTGTAAATAAGCAGTAGGCACTGACCGGCTTCTTGGGCTCGATCACCACGCTGTGTGCCCGCATAGCTGAGATCGGGACCTCTGGGAGAATGGTGTTGGTCCAGGGACCAGCAGCAACAAGCACATCGGTAGCTGCGATGGTCTGTGTTTCTCCGGACTTCTTGTCTGTATATGTCACCGATTCCACAGAGCTCTTTGAGCGATTTATATCTGTGACCTGTCCAAGAACAATAGTTGCGCCCTTCTCCTCGGCCAGCTTTGCAATGGAAGTAGTAAACTGGTAAGGGTGCACTTGGGCCGTTTCACCAGGCCCGCTCATGCTCTCATAAGCCCGTAGAAGTTCAGGCTCAATCCAGTCCAGATCCTGGGGGATTTTGGCAGACTTCAACTTGGACAGAGCGGCTGTGCTGCGTTTCTGGAGGGACTCCGAGCTCCCATCCTCAGCTTTCTTCTCGGTGAGAGCGCGACCTCTCACGACCAGTTGTCCACAGTTGACTTCTCTGTATCCCCATCTGTTTATACCATCATGCTCTTTTGCGAGCTCGGCATGAAGCCTGTAGCTGAGGGCCACGATATTGCTCGGGTAGGCCCATTGCGCGAGCATACCACCCGCTTTTCCTGATGCCCCGCCAGCAATCTCAGAGGCCTCGATGAGTGTAACTTTATGGCGAGCGGGATCGAAGGAGGGGTGTCTTGTAAGATAGTATGCAGAGCAGCATCCAATGATGCCACCACCTGTGAGTACTCCGGTCAGCGAATTGCAATAAGCGCGGGGTACAGTCGCAAACAGTGTACGCTTACCAACAATAACAATCTCACGGCGATCTCCTGTGGGCGACATTCTCAAGTTCGGCGCTATCTTTGGGACTATAGATCGGAAGGCAGCCACTGTGTGGGTAGTTGGAGAGTGCAGGTTCGTTCGGCGCACCAATACGCGGGCATAAAAAAGGCCTACGTCACTCAACCTGTTGCATGTCCAGTCAAATTTCGTGCCAACTATCAAGTCCACCATGACCGGTATTCTACATGTTAAAGTGGTCAAATTGTTAGATGATGTTGTTATTTTACTAGAATTTTGAGTATCGAAAGGGTAATTCCACCAAGGCTTGTGCAGGTAGAGTGAAATGTCAAGAAACCATGCTCCGCAAATGCAAATCGTGCCAGAGGAATAGAAGAATGTCCGAGGGTTTTGGATACAGAGAAATGAAAGGAGTAGATCTGGGGAACAACCAAAGACTCATCGCGAGGGACTGAGCGGCCGGTTGAAACCGCCCTGGCGGTTCATGTACTGTCTGTACTCAATCTTCTTCTCCTTCCGCACACCATAAATGTCGTTTCCGGGAATCTTGGTGTTCTTTGTAGTGCGGAATCGAGTGAATCCCATGGCCTTGCGCATTTGCGCCTCGATCTCGTCCTCGTCTGCATCCTCGTTGATGTCCACGTCCATCTCATCTTCATGGCGAGGCACTTCCGGTGCTCCATTTGCTTTCCGAGGATCCTCTAGCGATCGAGGGTCTCTGCGATCGCTCTTGGGGCCCCGAGGAGGTGAACGGGCCCTTGTGCCATACCGAGCGGGGGATCGCGAACGCAAGCGGTCGCGGAACTTGACGCTTTTTGGTACAGTTCCTGAGAGTTCAAAGTCAGCAAAATGCTAGTAGACCACGTAATCAAAGAGTTGTTCTACCTCGTCTGTCATAATCGCGCTCCCGGCTGATGCTCCTCTTCCGATCCTGGGCCCCGCGGCCATCTCTGTCTCCGTCCCTTCGGTCTCTATCGCGACGATCCCGAGACCAGCTCCGTTCTCGTCTTCTGTCCTTGCGTTCTCGTGAGCGTGAGCGATGTCGGCTGTCGCGTCGATCGTCTCGCGGTGGTGAAGCTCTGCGGTCGCGAGCTGACTCCGGGTCTGATCCGCGGGGCTGGTTATCATTTGAATCCCACATAGCCGCGCTGTCGACTCGACGAGCGCGCTTTGCAGGTGGCTCCGCCATCGTGAAAAGGGCCCGGTCAGGTCTGGGTTGCCCCGTACTGTGGGTGTGGTAGACTGGAACGGGTAGGGATTGGCCCTGCTTCGTGGTCGAGGAGAGCTTGTTATCAGAGCCAAGCTCAAGAGCAAGAAGTCTAATGGGCGTATGGGTATTCGTGTAGAGGGTATCAAGTTGTCGCAATTGTGAGTCTGCCCAAGTCTCGGGTCCAAAGAGAAGTTTATTCCGGTGGCGGGTAAAGACCACTCGCGCAGTTTGTGACATGGCAGAATTGACAGATCTATATCTGCAATATTTCTATTTTTAACCACCCAAAAGCTCGGTTTCGGTGGGTTAGAATAATTTATTTTCAAGGGTTCTAGCCATTAAGTCTGAAGGCTTGAACCATAATGTCAAACTATCCGATGTTATGGAAAAAGTCCCAAGACTCTCTGATATATATTTCGGGCCGATGGATAAATTCCTTTCTAGACTGATAGGATTGATGGAGATAGCTCTTTTATGCGCTGTGAATTGATCAAAGAATGTTAAATATGATGAGGCGTCGAGTTAATAACAAAACCAAAAGCCACTGGACTATACTTTCACTCACATGGAAGTTTTACCTATGAGACGCCTGAGCATATACCGGAGTTGCTGACTGATTTCCCACAGGATATGATGTTATTCCAGCCCCCATGTAAAGGGGCTTTTATTAAAACAAATATGCCCACTAAATTTATCTTGACTGAGCCCCAAATGAGAAGAAGAATTCAGATACATAGACCAGTGCGATCTTCTTGAATACCCAGATAGCTAGTGATAGTAGCCCCACTTGTTTTCGAATCGAAAGTGAAAGATACCTCAAATGGAGGCAAAGAGACAGGCCACTAGAGCACAAATCGTTTGAACAAGATGTAATCGCATCTAGGAAAGTGGATTTGGTGAAACTGTCCATGCGTGTACTAAGTAGGCCGATACCCGAGACTCCAGCCCACTAAGTACATCTAGCTTGAGCTCCTCCCCTTACATACAGAACATGCCCTCTATATTCATAAGCCACATGAAAAAGTCACTAACTCGAAACAATTCTAAGTCGGTATCTAGGAGCCGTTACAAGAAACAAGCTGTAATTGAATGATCATACTTAAGCAAGCCACAGCCCAGTATCTAGTTTGATGCTAGGGTTCAAACAAACAAGGTCTTGCCGTTTCCAAGACCATGCTGAATGAGCCCAAAAGACAGAGAGCGATGCAGCCCGCGGGCCGGCCCGTCGAGCCTCAACTTTAAATTCCACCGCGAAATTTTTGCAGCGCAACCCCACTTCCTGTGCGTTTATCATCCTGCGCCTCCTGAAACCTATTGGCGCATCACCATATCAAATCTCGGTTAAATATGGTACCTGTCAACCTTTCCCACAGACGGACGCATAATTTGCTCTTGATATCGAAACTCTTGAGCTCGCGGGACACGGCGTCGCCCCTTACCCTTGTCCAGGACTCGCTGGAGCAACCGGCTACGCCCCTCTATAAAGAATACATAAGACGTGCCAAGGTAAGTTGAAAGAAAAACATTGAAAGTCTGAAGCATAGATCAGTCAAGTACGAGGAGACAGCCGGGCTGACCAGTTCAATAGCTGTCCAAAGTCCATGTCACGCTTATTGCCTTTGAAACCCTAAAACAACCAGATGGGGTTGATGCCTTTGTGTCAACTCGTCGCAAGGGCCCCGCCGATATTATTAAGGAAGTCAGTGCAATTGCATATGCCAACCCATCGCGCAGTAAGTCTCATTCATTCAAGCTGACCAGGCGCTTTTACTGATTGGCTCCTTAGGGCGCCTTATTCTGATTGATACAATCAACCCACTATTGAGCTCAAGAAGAGCTGACCCTAGCTTCCATCTACCCTCTTTCCTGGGAGCATTTATTGCACCCACTTCTCCAACAGCGAAGATTGACGCATCACTCGTGGTGACATATCATCAAGATGTCCCCGAACCTCTACAGCAAAGTCCTTATTCGCCGTCGCCGATATCTGTGTTGACGTATCTTGCTACGAGCATTATCACTCTGCATTCTTTCTCGCACATCCTAGCACAGAAAGCTGCTCGAGACCGCAGCCTAGCGCCGCCAGTCTTCGGCCTGGAGGAAGAACAGGAAGGCGTTCTACTGGGCCGATTGGACAAATTGTCTGGGACTGGTGCCGCAGAGGGAATCGTGATTGAGCTGGAGCACAGGCGGAAGAGTGGTCGTGGTGTTTTGGAATGGTATCTTCTCCCGCCCGCCTCGCGCTATTCGCCACAGCACCTGAAAGAAGTGGTGACCCTGCTCGATGACAATGTTTTGTACAATCCTCCTATGGAGCGACACATTGGCGCCGAAGATGAGGAACCTACGTCGACCTTTGAGCTGGGTCTTACTGACAGGCAAAGGCGCGATAGAGAGGGTGTGGTGCTGCCATACTTTGATGCACAGCAAGGGAATGGGCCTGGTGAAGGTGGTCGGATTCTTTACGACATGGGAGAAGAAGATGACTTTGATGAAGAAGAGGATGAAATCTAGACATCTAGTCAAATACATGTTTTGACAAATCTTTGCATTCTAGAATTGGTGGATTGTATCCCGCAACCACCGAGGTATTAACTATGCATACATTCATACAAGGAGGGCCCAAAAAACAAGGCCCTTGAAAAGGAACGAAATCAGAAGAATCGCCAGAAGAGAAGAATGAAAATGACAAGCCCGACACCAGCAAAAGGCCCGTACTGCAAGATGGTCAGCTAATCAGTTGTGATAAACAGTTGCCAAGTATAAACTCACCTGCTTCAGCAACAATTCCCAGTTGATGCGCACAGCCGCCTTTCGGTACTTCTTACTGTCCTCACGCAGTCTCCCCGACAACTCTCCCATACGCTCCAAGCTGTCACCGCGGTACAAGAGGTCCTCGATGTTTTTTGTCATGACCTTGGTGACATCACGGAGCTCATCATTCAACTTGTCCAGGTTCTGAGATGCGCGACCGTCCTGGTAGAGTTTCTTTGTGCGCTGGATGAAGGTGTCAAATTCGACAAAGGCGTATGGACGGAGGGTAGGGGAGAGGTATTGTGACGAGTTGTAAGTAGTTGTGAATTCGGTGGCCAGATCAGCAAGATAGGTGAAGGCGAGTTTGCGGGGGTATGATTTGTCGCAAATGCAGAGGAAGCAAAGATCGTCCTGAATTGTGTAGCTGCAAGACAATCAGAATTGTTCTTATATGGTTCCATGGACGTCCCGTCTAGGACGGTGAATGCAACTTACTGGAGATTGTATTGGCCGGATTCAATGCTGGCTTGTGGCGCTGAATTGCGATTCAAGCGGCGGAAGATCATTTTCGCCTGGCCCTTAATCTCAGAGAGCTCCGACTCGGCCTGCGAACAATATAAGCTGGCGATTATATCGGTCATCTGTTATCGTGCTTACCTGCTCATCGTCGACCGAGGCAGCCAACATAAGGCCTGTTTTTCCTCACCATCAGCACTTAACCTCTTTCGGCCTCTTAGAAGACATACTCACCATCCAACCTTGCAATCTGCGTTGATCTGACCATCGTTGCGACTTTCCTGTTTCGTTGTGAAGCAAAGCACTTTGTTGTTTTGCCCCCCCGGGAAGTGAAGCCAGCATGGCGCCGAGAAAGGCGGTCGCGAGGGGCAGTACCGAACGGTCCAGGTGAGCTGCAACTCCGCGTTTCTTCAGACTTCAGCCTACTGATCTTGTATAATAATGTCCTAGTGGTGCTGCTGCCAGTTCTGCTAATGTAGCAGAACAACTGGGTTCTGCTATGTCAACTCCCACTGAAGGCTCACGAGCCAAGACTCCCCGGAGAGCTGCCGCGAGAGGCAAATGGAGTGAGGAGCAGCTCTTTACTAGCGACAAGTCTCTCCTCATTGATTTTGACCTTGTGGTATGAGTAGTACTTTTCTTACTTGTGGAAATCCAAGCTAATGCCGATCTTTTTAGAAACTGCTTGCGCAACCCGAAGCATGGAACTGCCTTGAAGAAAGCGAGAAGCGGGAGATCCTTGCTTTACTCCCCGCAAGTGTTCACCCCGATGCGGAGACCACCTCGGATGATCCAAACGCCAAGCTACCTCCCATCCCCGACAACTTCATTCGCTACTCGAATAACTGGCGTGATGGTATTCGTCAATTTCAACTTGATCTACAAAACGGCCGCTACGACCCTGAATGGCTGCGCCAGGCTGAGGATGCCCGACAGAAGCGTCAGTCTGGTGACTTCGACATCTTCAAAGAGCGTGAATTCGAGCAATTTTGGGGCCAAAAGCAAAAGGCAGCTATGCGTGCATTTGCTGGAGAGACGGCACAGGTGAAAATGAAGACTCTTATTGACGAGGGTGCTTTCCAGCTGGGTGATATCTGGAGATTCGAATATGTTTACGGAAAGGGCGCGGACAGAATATTTATCCAAAAAGAGACCCGGGTATGTGTCAATTATTTACCCGAACCTGACCACTTGCTGACTAGGACAGATTCATAAATTTGATGGAGCAAAAATGACCTTTGCGATCCCACCTGGTGAACGGGTATTTCTCCGCAGCGCTTCTGACAAAGCTCAGAAATGCGCCACGCCTGGAAAGGAAGAGGAAACTACAAAACCCGACACCGAAACACAGCTACAGACAGCTACAACAGCCTCCAACGAAGAGACCAAAGACGTCCAGGCACCACAGGAGGCTAATGTTGCTTCCAACAATGATGATGCGAAGGTCGACACCGAGACACCCACAGTCCCTGCCGCTTTCAACGGTACAGCCATGGAAGTTGACACAGAAGCTCCCTTGAACGCAGCCCCACCAACCTTGAAAAACGAAGAGACGCAAGTCAATACCGAGACAGAGTCGCAGACTGTCGCAGCAGCTTTCAATGAGGAGGGTTCTGGAATGACTCCAGACTTCAGCGTTATTATTGTCACCCCCGATGGCAAGAAGAATTCGAATAGACTCAAGCGCCTAACCCCAACTCCTCAGCCCGAATCTCAACCCCAAGCGAAACGCAAGCGAGGAAGACCTCACAAAAACCCCACTAAAGTACCTGAGCCTGAGCCTGAGCCTGAGCCTGAGCTCGCGCCGGAGGTGCCCGAACGCGAAGAAGGCGGGTCGGCACCCGCTCTTCTTTCCGATTCAAACACCATGGCAGTCGACCCTATCACATCCGCCCCTGACCTTTCTGCATCTGCGGAAGAACCCATCAATGTCGAGACCAAAGATGAGATAGCCGGACAGCCTATGGAAAAGGCCGAGACATCCCCGGAGACTGAGCAGCACGACACCGATACACCTGCAAGCTCTCAGCGGCAAGACTCAAATCCTACTTCATCTCAAACTACGGACAATGAATTAGAGGACATCCTCGTCCCGAACATCACGTCGCCTAACGGCCTCGCCGTGAAGATCCTGCAGATCGATGGCCGCATGCCCAATGGCCGTGTTGCGAATGGCTGGAAGGACATCCGGTGCATCCGAAACAACCAGGATATAGGAAGTCTCTTCGATGTGCGAGAGGCTTGGTTCGTTCGGAATGAACAGAAGTAGGCGTCATTTTTCAGAATTGATCCTCTGGTGCTCAGCCGCTAAGAACCTGTACCATTGGCATTGGAGCCAATGCTATTCCCAGTTTCTATGATTTCGGAGGACAATACCCTTTTTCCTGCTCTTAAATTAATTTTCAGAAAGCATACTCCATAGGTTCCAATTTTGCTTTGGCAGCTTGCCAACAATGGACTATTTCAATCAACCTCCGATAAACCTATAAAGTCATGACCGTAGAAGTAAAATTTGACATAATCGACAACACAATGGGTTGAGAATACTGTACTATATTATATAGCGATATGTGAGTTTGACATGCTCTATACTAAGACCCTTCATTCATCCCAGGCATAATATCCGAGTCCGCACCAACGTCAACAGCAAAGCTAGCCTGTATAAAATCTTCTAACTCCTCACTAACAGTTTTGAGTTTCTCTTTGATACTCGCAACCCCTTCCTGTCCAACAATATGCCGCGAAGGCGGGTTTTCATGACCACCAATCGACGTGATAGCATATACAGTCTCTGACACAAGTACTTCAAGGTGCGCAGAGCTTAATGGCGGGTGCATAGAGACAACCTCTGGAGCGGAGAATGGCCCATTCTCAATCGAGCTGACTCGGGCACTTTCATCCCGTGTTGCACTGGGCGAGGCTGGACTTCCATAGGACCCGGCAGCGTCGGGGAGCTGGGGAACGAGGTGATTTAGAATCCCGCGGAAGAGAGGGGCTTGGTTGTTGGCGGGAGAATAGGCGGGAAAGATTGGAGGAACGCTCGTGACTAGGTTCGTGAGGATGCCGATTTCAATGCTGCATTGGAAGATGGTGAGTTTGACGTTAAATGGGGCGATTTCGTATGCCAGACTCTGTGGGTTGATTAGTATAGTTCCG